AACTATATGCATAGGTCGTTATTGGTATTTTAAATTTCTTAATAAATTTACAATTAAAGTGTACAAAAAAGTGCCTCAAAGTTTTGGTAGGTAATCTCGGTTATAAGACTGTAGTATTTTGACTAGTTTAGGATATAATAAAAAAAAAAACATTTGAAGTTTTGAGTTATATAAATATAAAAGCATGATAATGCTTTTAGACATGATTTTGTATAAACGGAAAATGATGTAAGACACGATGATGTTGATGATATGTTAAAAAGGCAATACTTACTCAATTATTAAAAACAATGACCTGATAAATAATTAATATTAACAATAATGAACAGAAATAATAAAATATCACTATTTTGTGATAATATGCAATTTAATAGAGTTCCTTCATTTCCGAAAACCGATCAAATGAAGCGATAACATCAAAGTCTATACGACTTGAATCTCTTTCCAAATCCTTACTAAATAAAAAGAAACTTAATTGACTCACGAGTGGCATAGACTTTGAATAGCCATAGCTTGGTAACTTCTTTGCTAACACTCTAAACCTTTTTTTATAATATTCATTGTAAAATTTAGCCGGAGAAAAGTAACTTTCGGGAAAATTCATATTATTGACATTTTTCAATAGGGCCAAAATAATTTCTTCGACTTCTTTGATTTTATCTAAATCGGCCAACGTGCGTGCAGATTGGAACAGTTCAGCAATATTTTTCAATTCGCCATCTTCCTCCAAATTTAAAAGCCGTAAAATGTTATTAAAATCGTTAAATATTAGACTGTTGTACTCCTCTATCCCACTGATGGCAGATTCTTCTGTCTTCCATTTTTCGTCGAATAACCAGTTTATCATAACTTCATACACCAGTGGATTATCTGAGTTTTTAGATGGTAAGCGAGCAGCGATTTCAAGTACGGAAATCCACAAGTTGTGCAACATAGCATACCTCATAACGTTCATAAACCTACGATGACATTCAAAAAATGCATTGGTCTGTGCCTCAAAAGATTCGAGATCACGATTTCTGTCGCAGGTACGATTTATTAGATGGTATGCACGGGCTTTTCCCGCTTTATCGACTCCTGCAATGTTTTCCAATAATTCTTTTAAAACACTCGGTTCGTTGATTGCAGGTCGCAAAAATAAACGAAAAAATTTCATATAACATTTACAATCGTCGATTATCATACTCGTAGTTATTTGATCGATTCTCTTGTTAATCGTGATCTTGAATTTGTCTCTTTTAGTTACATAGTTATATACAAACAAACATACATACATACAAGTGAAGCTAATATAAGCGTGTTAAAAACATAACTTCTCATATGTCTGAATGAATCGTAGTAGATTTTGAGTAAAGCGTGATTAATGTATTACGTTTACGAATAATAATTAAGTTTTTTTGTGGAGTCTAGTCTCAGAGTTATTATTTACATTTGTGTCAATGTAAACGGAGCAAATTCAATAACTTGGATTAGCAAAATTAAATTTACAATTGTTTGGTTTATTTATTTTTGAGCAAGACATACGTCGTGTTCTCGTCCTGCCTTATTCATTTTCCTTCTTTTCATAACTACTGTTACAGTAATTACTACAGTAGTACTACTAGTGTCAACTCATTCCTAATTCTTAAAGGTTGTTAGTCACTTGAGTTTGAGGGGACGTTTTAATTAAGGCGATAGATTGTAGCTTGAAATAACGTTAATATTCTCACTATACCCAAGTAAATGTCTGCACTATCCCCATAGCAGACCTGACTTTTGACAAATCTGAAATCATATCATATAATTGCACACATATCACCCATAACGTGAACGCAAGCGGATTTTAAAAACGTTTCAAACATATACAGGGTGTCTTACAGTGAATTGTTTTTTAATATACATTTTTACTTATTTGCGTTGTAAACACCACGTAATGTGCACCTCTCGTCTTAATATTAACCTTAAATAAGTTAAAAATAAATTTTCCAAAACTGGTTATCCACCGGTCAAAATTGTGTTAAATTACACTTTATTGGAGTCAAAAAGTGCAATAAAAACGTAACGCTTATAGCGCAAATGAGCAAAAGTAATTGTACTATCCGTTTTTTGTATCGATAAAATGGCATAGACAATAATTTAGTAAAAATTCGTTTATGTAAAATATTAGTAGCAAAATATCAGAACTCCTCGTCAGTTTAATGTAAATATATAATCATATTGAAAAAACAAAACCAGCTATGTAAACTAACACAAGGCACAGAGCAAATAAACATTTTGATTTAAGTGTTTCGGTCGATATATAAGTCCGTAGACAAAAGACAAGGTAGTCGCATCAATACAGTTAAACAGGCTGACGTTTTTTTTTAAAGCTTAACACATTCAATAATTTAATAAGTAACACTACCTAGCTCTAAATTTTTTATTTCAAAAAAATAAGAAGTCCAAGAAATATCTTTGGTTTTATAATATATATATAAATATATATATATATATATCTTTAACGTATAAAAATAATTTTTTAATAGCACAACCTTCACAACTCTGGTGGCTATTGTATGTTTATTATTATTTACAGATTACAGATAAAAATGAAATTTTATAGTTTTTTAATATCATTTATCTTTGTAAATGTTTCAACGTATGACATAAGTAAATATTTTGTTTTTACAGTTACTTACTTGAGGTTATTGACATTTTAAAAATATTTTTTATTTTTTTACAGAGGATTATATTAAGGAAGTTTGTGTTACAAGTCAGTAATATTTTTGTTATATATTTTTTTAAATTTAAAATTGTACTCATTTATACATAATTTTTCATAATTTATTGAAGACGCCCACATCGAGCTTGTTTTTAACATGAATAATTTTAGAATAAGAGGAAAATTTGAATTAGGTAAGTTATATTAAAAATTAATATACTAATACTATATAATAATTGTTTTAATATATATATTTATCTGATGACTGATTGTAGAATTGATTATAAATTAAAAATTAAACTTTCTTTAAGCAGCTCTGAAAAGTCCACGAGGTTTATAGAACTAATGTTTTACATACTTTGTATTATATTAAAGTTACTACAATAATTCTAATGTATAGTTATAGTAATGGTTTCGATAATGTCTTACACTTGGCTATAGGCAGTGACTAATCATAATATTGGGAGTAACAATAAGTAAAATAGTCATCATTTAAAGTAACATGTAAGCAAGTCCTAGCTGTGATTATATGTATATATTTATAATGATATTGTATAAAACTTATGTAACAGCTCAAACGTTTATTTGTTTATCCAGATGGATTGGAGTATGTAATTAAAACATTTGTCGAGCAAGGCCTGCATAGTATAGGTAGTTATTATTATACAATAATAAAAAAAATAATGATAAATGTATTGTAATATTAAATTCACCATTGTGAAGAAAATGTAATCTAATATTTATAATTTATGCAATGTTAATTTCAGGACCTTTGAATAATATGTTCGCAGTACCGGGTAATAATTTACATGGAAATATTACAACACAATTGTTTGATATTCGTATACAATGTTTTTGTATTAATTTCAGAATTTCGACTCTATACCGAATGGGACGGTAACCACATATATATATATATATATTTCATATTTAAAATACTTAAGACAAATTCATTATTCATACATGATATATTATACGCTTGTATAACTTGGTGGAAGTTAATATTTAATAGAAATAAAAAACACAACGATAATAATATGATCTAACACAATAATATTAAACATAAAATCACATAGTATAAATATAAAGAATAGTATGCACAACGTACGTTATAATTATAGCAGCACCCGTAATAGAATTGTACCCGACACCTTAATACTATGGCTTATATATGGTATAATCTATGTCATAAGTGAAATTGGTCCCTGTACCAAACCACTTTTAAATATTACATAATGATTTCTATAATATTCGCATACTATTATACAAAGTTATACTAAATTTATACTTATTACATACTCATATTCCAGACCCAAATATATAATATTAATTATATTTAATAATACATTTGGAGAATAATCATAATATGAATAACACTATTGGTTTCATTCACAAGAAATGTATAATTTTAATTTATTTTATGTCAATTTACAGAACTAATAGAAACCCAAGCAGCTTTGCGAGAACTAATACAATCTGAATTAAGTAAATATGAAATTTAAGATTGTTTAATCTTTAATTCCTTAACCCTAAAGAAAAATGATAAAAAGTAAATTACAGTTCAATTGTAACGCTTAGGCTGTGCGATTTCGTGGGGGTAAAGAGATTTTCGGCAGACAATCGCGAGCCAAACTGCAGCCTCTCACAATCGATCGCTCTCGATCCATCCTTGTGTGTACAATGACGTTAGAGTAGGGTTGATTATCAGGGTTGTTTAATGTCAAATGAGATTCGACATTATACATTTAAAGTATTACGCATATTATAAATTATATAAGGAAGATAAACACTTAGAACCCTAAAAGGGACAAGTGTTACACAATTATATTATGACTTTATGGTTTTTGCATAAGACTTAGTAAATAATATAATATTAATACAATATTTCGCATTAATTATTTAGTCTTATTATGTTCAGTTTCAGAGTGATTGTTAATTGATATATTTGTTACAGATATTCCTGTTCCTCATGTTCCAGACGAAAGTAATTACAGTCGTTGCTAGGTAACTTTGCACAGCTGCGGTGGCGCGAAACGCAACGCCTGGGGTTCTCTGTATTTTATGTTTTCTCTTTTGTCTATTATGCCTTTTCGAAGCATGGTTGATAGTATTTTTATAAAATTTATAATAATAATACTGATAATAGTAATAACAACAATAATAAAGCACCGTTGTGGCTGTACCACGCTTGTCCTAGCCAACGGGCGGTCGAGGAAAAAGACTAGTTTGACGCCACCGCTGTGCCAACTTATGTGGCAACGATTATTCGCATTATGCGATTAGAAATATACTTTTTTAATTTTCGTTTTATAGTGATTGTTATTTGATATTTGATATGTTTGTTACAGATATCCCTGTTCCTGAAACCCAAAGTAATTATACGCATTTTTCGATATTCTTGAATAGCCTTTAAGGCTTGATTTAGAGTTAAAATTTGCTATATTTTTTTAAATATTTAATGTCAAACTCTAAATTTTAATGAAATAAATTTACACTTGGAAATTCTCCCAACAGGTTAGATAAATATATGCAAATAGAGCTATGCATTATTCGAATAAAAACTTACTAAACTAATCGTCTAGATGAAAAGTTATTTAAATGGATATTATTTAAATAACTTTCAAACATGGTATTCAAACAATTATAATAAACAATGCCGTAGTAAGCAAGTTTGAGTGTTATGAGTAGAAAATGATGTGGAGAGCATGTCGAATGACAACTATACAAATAATTATTAATTTTATAGTATTATACAATAATAATTATATATATATAGAGAGAGATTAATAAAAATAATAAATCTTATAATTATTCTTTATCAACACGGGCATTTAATCATTTTTGCAGATTTTGATGGATTTAGAGAAGTTTTAAGAGGCCTTGGAAAAAAGAGAAGAAAATTTACTGAAATAGCTTTAAAAAATATATTGAACCGGACAATAAGTAAATACTAGTATATCTAGAGTTGTAGTGGATGTTAAAGCTTTATACATAATTAGGGTATCAATTTTTTTCTATTGCACACCGGTGTCCGCCGGCGGCAGAGTAATTAAATCATAACAAAAGGGCATAACAAATTCAATTTATTTTTAATTTTTTAAATGTTATTATGATAAAAAGGTAATAAAACAATATGTTCATATTACTAATTTTAATGTTGCTTGTATCTATAACCATACCATTGTGGCATTTTTTTAATGATCTTGTTTTAAAGCTGATAGTTGTTTTTTTATTACACTACCATTACAATTAAGTAAACTTTTGGGGACAGAGTGAGAGACCAAATAACTGTTTGAAATTACAAGGAACTAAATTATTTAAATTTTTTTTTAATTTTATTAACACGATTGCTTATAAACATTTGCAGATTATGGGAAACCAGAAAATGTGACCAATCATTTAAATGAGAGAAGTCGTCTTGGTTCAGACCCTTTAGAGTATAGAATCATCCGAGCATTAGGTAAATGAGTTGGAATGGTTTTTATACCATTATTTATTGCATGTATACATTCATTTTTGTTCTCTTTATTAATACTATTGATACGAACAAATTACAATAATAACGTGGTAGTTATTAAACGTGCTGTATTATAGCCATATGCATCGTTTCACATCATATTTTTCACTTATACGTAACAATCAAAAATTTAAATGAGAGTCTATGGTCCCAATACTCCACTATATATGTACGTTTTATCAACATTCTTCTACAACGTATTTAATAGAGATAGTTCACAACAATATTGCAAGGACGATAAGAAAACATTTTTTAAAATTTTTTTAGCTGGACCAGAAGAGGATATATCTATACCATGGATGTGTCATATGATAGCATTGTACTTGTGTATAAAAAAGCCAATATCATACACAACGAATATCCAGTTAAATTCTAATGGTACTTGTACCCTAAGTGATGACATTACTTTCGAAACATACGGAAAAATTGAAGGACAATGGTGCCAAGTCATCGGCAACGAAGTACGACCACTTAAGGAACTATTATGATAATAGTACAGATTTAATTTAATTTAAATAATACTGGAATTTTGCACTATTATCCAAGTTGTTAGTTAACAATTTAATATATATATTTAAGTTAAACAATTATACTCACTTATAATTACACGTGTTGCTTATGTGGTGAGTACCATTTCTTAAGTCCAGTCTCTAGCCACACTTTGCTTGCAACTCACTAGCTGGGGCAAGTACTTGTGGTTACTGATTGTCTTAGTAACTTCTCTGTTGAGCTCAACTCGGTGTTAATATTTATTAAAGCAATTTAAACAGTTTTCAACTATTCTTTTAATTAAATAAAATATTATGTATTTTGTTTCTTATTTCAAATAGTCCAACAAGAATTATCTAGATGCGGCTTATTAGCATAGACCTGTGACTTCAAAAATCCCCACACGAAATAGTCTAGCGGGGTCAAATCGCACGATCTTGGTGGCCAATCCACGTCACCTGGCTTTGACCCTGCCAGACATTTTCTTGTGGGGATTTATGCGCCAGAGTTATCGAAGAAAAATGGAGAGAAATGGCCACCCGACCGATGCGAAAGGCAACGGGAAATCACCGCACCACAACCACTTCTCTAGGATGGCAAATCTTGTCTCTAGTAGAGCAAGAGTTGTCCACCAATCTAACAGCTCACAAAAAAAAAAAGATTGAATTAAACTTAATTGCAGCCAAAAAAGTGCATTTTTTTTTAATGCACGTTTTTTCGTGGCATTTATAGCGCAAATGAGTAAAAGTAATTTAAAAAAAAAAATTGTTTAAAATGTTCAATAGAACATAAGTTATTTCATTGGGTATATATTATACAGAATGATCGTTTTATCGTGGACTAAATATCTCATAGGGTTTAATAAGAAATTACATTTTTTCTTTCATATTGTTTTTATACAATGCGGTCTCAATTTTTTACAATTTTTGTTATTTATATCCCACCCTCCCAACTTAGTTTATTTGATAGTGGCTTTTAAAACTTAATTGGAAACGCACACGTTCCAACTTTTTAAATTGTGAATTTTTGGTTTGAATCTGTGGATGGTAGAAACACAAATCCCGATAAAATAGTTATAATGACAAAAGTGTGTCACTTCTTCTAGAAAAAGTATTTTTTATATTTTTTGGGGAGTTGTAAATGTTTATTGATAGTAAATAATCTAAAACGAATATTGAAATTTTTGCAATAATTATAACCAATTATAATTAATGTGTAATTTAACCAATACTTTTATAATTTTAAAAATAGTTGTGTTCAGGCGAACTGCGGTAATACGCGATTGTTCTTTTGCATATATATATATATATATATATATGGAACAATAATTCCTTCCCTCAAGTCACCTGTCCTATTGACGGCATACTAACGATCGGTCAACTACCGAATTACTTGCCAAACTAGTTAATGCAACTTATGCGTTACCATTTAAGTTTCTGAAGTTGCTATCAATAAAATAAGTAAAAACAGATGAAAAATGAAAACACATTGTATGGTAACAGTATGAACTGTTCAATAAGTGCAGTCATAATGAACAGTCGAATATTACCACATTTGTTGCTTAATATGTGTAATTTCAACAGGCACTTAATGTTTATACCACATTATACATATCGGTTTGAAGGTTTTTTTTCAGCTAAAATAGGATAATAAATAATTAATAAATTAGTTGTAAAATAGTCTACGAATGTGGTGTAATTAAAAATTTAAAAAAAATTAGAGTCGAAATTTACACGGAACAATTGATTAGGCCTTTCTATATTCATACGTTGCCTCCAACCAAAATTTTAACAAGCGGCCCCCCCCCCCCCCCCGGTGGGCGAGATGAATTTTTTTTTTTTCAAACCAATTTTTGAACGCATTTTGGACTAATTTTCAGTAATAGTTATATATAGTATGTTATTTTCTGTATTCTAGCAAGTACAATACTAATTCCAACCATCGCATCAGTCTCATGGTGCGAAATAAAAATGATTAAAGAACATACGTTAGCCTTAAATAAAACTTATTATACAAGAACGGTAGTGAACATGATTGCTTATTTTTTGGCAATTTATTGAAAATAATAATAAGTTATCGGGAAAAGGGACGTAGTTTAATTGAAAAATGCGTGATGTATGTATCAAAATAATTTCTATTTCTACGTATTCAGAAATTTGTAAAATATAAATTCAGTGTATAGGAAGTATTTACAGATATTTTATGGACGCGCGGGTTTGAATTGAAAATGTGTTCCCTTGCTGTTGAAACGAAATTGTTGTTGTGCTTTCTGTGTTGTTGTTGTCGATGTGTGATTGTTCTTATTTGTACACATGTTTTGCATAAGAAAATATTTCACTGAAAAACAATTTATTTTTTTGGTCTAAATAGGTCGATATACCACTACTAGTTAATATGTGTTTTTTTTTGGTACTTTTCTTTGATTTAATTTATACAGCGTGAATCAGATCGTCAAAAGTTGGTTATAATATACTGCTTGTAATTTAATTTTGGTTTACCAAAATATGAGCGCATTGAAAAAAATTAGCTCAATTATAACATATAGTATTTTTCTAAAAAAAGGTAATATATAATTACCGTGCTTAGCCAAACAATGTCTATTAAGGCTGCCCTTACACAAAAACTCATAATTGTAAACACCACACGGGAAACGACATCCATCGTGAGTCTTCACGTGACGTTTCAAATTGTCTTTGCGGAGGAAGGTTTTTTTGCATACGTCACAAGAAAACGTGTTTTCAAATTACTGTACTCAAAAAAAAAAGGGACACTAACAAAATCAAAAGTAAACAACAAAAAAAGTATAAGACGTGTTGGTTAGTGGTTGTCTAAGACACTTATGACCATCGGTCGTAATCCAGTTGACCGACCATATAGACTCCAATATAGATTATAGCAAAGGAGTTCATTTATCTCCTCCGCCCACTAAAATGTCATTAAATGCTAACTATTTTTTCTCAAAATTTATAATACCCACCAAGTCCTCTATAGCGAATGTTCAGACTACAATTTTTTTTTTTTATCAAATTACTCAATTATAAAAAAAATGTATAGAAGTATAAAAGTATACATATTCAAACAGACATATACAAATAAATATGCTCCAATCAGTTGTTATTATAAAAAAAAATATTTCAACCGTGTCCAGTACAGCAAGCAACACGTTTCCCATATCTTCCCCGCTATCTCACCATAACATTTGTTTAATAAGAAATTACATTTTTTTCTCATGTTGTTTTTATACAATGTGATCTTAATTTTTCACATTTTTTTTTTGTTTTTAACCCTCTCCCAACTTGGGTTTTTTTATAGCAACTTTTGAAACTTAAATAGTAACGTACATATTTTATTAACTTTTTAAATTGCGAATAATGTACTTAAAATTTTGATTGGTCCATAACCAGTTTCGGATAACTATTTTTGAAGTTTTTGAAGTTTCAAGTTTAGGGCAGGAGGAAAGGCGGAGTGTGGTAATATTATCTGCTCGCATTTCCCAACCGCACTTCCCCTCTCATCATCGTTTATACGGCATGTTTGTGTGGCCCAGAATTGTGTTATACGTCCAATGACCGGCACCTTGATTTCTTTCCAAGCGTGGTTATAATGTGTTTCACGGTCAGTACACATAGGATCTCGATCGTCTTCACTGAGAGTACATGTTCAGTAAAATATATTGATATAGTATACTTTATAATATACAGTCCACTTAATAATATTTATTTGTTTTTTATACACATAACAACACTATACTAAAAGTGCTTGTCTATTTTAATTTAATAACTAATGTTTGGCCTTGTAGCGTTGTAATTGTTTTTCTATCTTTTTTCCATATTGCTTCTTTGTTGCAAGTATCAGTTTTTGTTGATACTATAATCAATTGTGTCGTTATTGAACTTTTTGTTGTAAGGTCTCAATACCAAGCTACCTAACTATAGTTTCCTTATATCCCGTTATTAAGCGCGCGCGGTCAACCTGACCCATTAAAGTGTTTTGCTAAACCTATACCGACAATCGTAGCAGGCGATACTGCTCTTTTTATTAAAGGCAGTCGGCTCTACACAACTACACTTCACCGCATCGTGCCCATGTAAAACATGGCCAACGGTAATTAACCAACTATTTATTGGCGAGGGAAGGAAACTAACACAAATCGTGAACAAAATCTAGTTCCTTTAATTCAGATTGTAGTTATGTTGAGGTTTAGTTCATTGCGTTTCATTTCTTATAATATTTTTCTTATATTATAACATAAAAAATATGTATAATGATATATTTTCTGCAATCGTAGGTTGTGGTGATGTACTCATTGTGTCAATAAAAGAAAAGCTTGTTTTTGCAACTGAATATTTGCAATAACAGAGTAAACATACCGAACAAAACAATCCCGTTTAAGTTAAAGAAAATCTCATAGGCAACTCTGCATACTACGTTTAGTTTTACTGTTTCGTTCAACATAATATCAAGCATTGTAAGTACTACTTAAATATATTTTTATTAGAATTTTTTATTTTTGTGTTTAGACTAGCGGTAAAATGTAATCAATAAACCAAAGTCATTAAAGTACAAGTAGATACTATATAAGAAATTGTATAGGCAACTATGCATGATACGTTTTGATTTTACTGTTTCGGTCGATATAATAGAGTTTTTAACACAAGTGTTAAAAAAACCATTTAAAGTAGACCGACAAGCTAGTCGATTAAGAAAATCTAGGGGTCTACACTCTACAGCCAACATACAATTGTATTAAAAATTTGTATTTTATAATTTTTCTGTTAAAGAAATGATAAAAAAGATGCTTTTGAAAATCATATATGAATATCTATTAAACTCCAATAACTCCATAAATATTATTTTTAAAACTTGTTTCAATGAGAATATATTTTTTAATCGGATATTCATGATCAAAAAAAAAAAAACATACACCTTTTTTAGCTTCGATGCAAAGCGAGAAGGTATTGGTTTTACTCTGATGTGGGCTTTTTTTTTCGCTGTATACAGTGTAACTTTTTTAATACTAGACCAATTCCTTCGAATAGCAACTCTATAAATCACAAATTTTGTCTAGTTTGTACTTTGGGGGGGTAAAAGTTGAAAAAGTTTAAGTCTTCACAGACGAAAGTTGAAAAAACAAAAAAAAAACCGTACGAGTTTTTAAGTTAGAACTTTTACTGGCTATAGTATCGAGAAAAAGAGTCGGATCGAGTTGAAATTCATAAGAAACATTTATTTGGTATGCCCGCGCACGTCAGTTTTGTCAAATTCAAAATATACCCATTTCCCGCCCCCCTAGGGGGGGTACAAGTTTTTTTGTTTTTCGGAGTTTTTAGCCGTAATTTTAAAACTTTTGGGTTGAAAATTTGCCAGTAGTTGGAACTCATATGTATCCGTAACATATTAAGCGGGTTGAAATTTCGGCACTACAGTTTTTTTTTAATTGCCGGAAAACCGTGTTTTCGCACATTGCGTATATTTTAACAAAAACACCTAAAATCTTTAAAAAAAATTGATCAAATCATTAAAACAATTTGATTTATATCTATGCAGAATGATACTATTAGGTTTTGTGCTCAAGTACCACTTTTGACTTGAAGTTTACACAAATTCAACTTTTTTTTTTTTTTTACTTAAGTTCTTTCCGGATGATTAAAATTGAGAACTGATATTAAATTCGTAATCACCGACCCAAAAAACATATAATTTGACCACTTTTGATGTCTTTTACACAAAAATCCAGAAAAATGTTTTAGCTTCGATGCAAAGCGAGAAGGTATTGGTTTTACTCTGATGTGGGCTTTTTTTTTCGCTGTATACACTGTAACTTTTTTAATACTAGACCAATTCCTTCGAATAGCAACTCTATAAATCACAAATTTTGTCTAGTTTGTACTTTGGGGGGGTAAAAGTTGAAAAAGTTTAAGTCTTCACAGACGAAAGTTGAAAAAACAAAAAAAAAACGTACGAGTTTTTAAGTTAGAACTTTTACTGGCTATAGTATCGAGAAAAAGAGTCGGATCGAGTTGAAATGTATAAGAAATATTTATTAGGTATGCCCGCGCACGTCAATTTTGTCAAATTCAAAATATACCCATTTCCCGCCCCCCTAGGGGGGGTACAAGTTTTTTTGTTTTTCGGAGTTTTTTGCCGTAATTTTAAAACTTTTGGGTTGAAAATTTGCCAGTAGTTGGAACTCATATGTATCCGTAACATATTAAGCGAATGAAAAATTCGGCACTACAGTTTTTTTTTAATTGCCGGAAAACCGTGTTTTCGCACATTGCGTATATTTTAACAAAAACACCTAAAATCTTTAAAAAAAATTGATCAAATCATTAAAACAATTTGATTTATATCTATGCAGAATGATACTATTAGGTTTTGTGCTCAAGTACCACTTTTGACTTGAAGTTTACACAAATTCAACTTTTTTTTTTTTTTTACTTAAGTTCTTTCCGGATGATTCAAATTGAGAACTGATATTAAATTCGAAATCACCGACCCAAAAAACATATAATTTTACCACTTTTGATGTCTTTTACACAAAAATCCAGAAAAATGTTTTAGCTTCGATGCAAAGCGAGAAGGTATTGGTTTTACTCTGATGTGGGCTTTTTTTTTCGCTGTATACACTGTAACTTTTTTAATACTATACCAATTCCTTCGAATAGCAACTCTATAAATCACAAATTTTGTCTAGTTTGAACTTTCGGGGGGTAAAAGTTGAAAAAGTTTTAGTCTTCACAGACGAAAGTTGAAAAAAACAAAAAAAAAACCGTTTTTTTTAAACTAAAAACCCAGGGTCCAGATGTGAGAAACTAAATCGTGTGACTGATTATAGTAGACACTCGATTTTTTGGGAAAAAAACCTGTCCGTGTACTTGTTAAGACACTTAATGATTCTGATACGACAAAACCACTGTCGTTATCTCGTTATTTTATAGCCTGCGTTATATAACCTTACCGAAGGTTAACTATGAGTATTTAATGTCCAACTACCTGCAAATAATGAAGAGGACTGTTGTTTTTTGGATTTAGATTAAGTGTTGGTTTTTATGCAGTATACCGCCTCAAAATGTTTTTTTTATTACACAATTTTTTTAAAGGAAAACTAATGTTTTGTATATTGTTATACTGTTATTCATTTAAAGAGATTCACGCTTGATTGTTTAAATTGTCTAATATTAGATAATCTGCTTCGTGCTAATTTTATTTTTTTAGTTTATCAACTTGTAGCTCTAATTTTGTAAAAAATTTTCATTATTTTATTACTATGTACTATTACTATTAAGATAAATTTTAATAATAATTAAGTCATAAATGATAATACTTTATTTTATGACTAGATCAAATCTCGTGAACATTTAACATCATGATACTGCTCCTATGCTATTATTAAAAAAACACAATTTTTAAAATCTCCATAAAAGGTTATTGTTAAATAACAGGCAACAGCCGACTGCTAGTGGCTATACACGTTAGTAATATTCAACTAATAAGTAATAAATGTAGGTAAAATTTATTGTTTTCTCTATCACAGTACCAGTATACGATTTATTTTAATTTAAATGTAAGAAAATCGATTTTTCTTTAGAAAATAACAAGAAATTAATATACAGGATGAGGCAGTAAAACGGCGATTTTCTAATGTATTTAAATGGTAAAACCCGTTTCACTAACCCACCCTTTACATTTTAAGGATCTATGAAAAGGTTTTTTTAGTTGCATTTTATTTTGTACATTGTTAATCTAGTAAAATAGAAGTATAATATAGCTTTGAAATAATATAATCTGTGAAGTATAAATAGTTTGTGTGAGATTGCTATAATGGAAGTATATAATACATAAATATTAATTTTATTGAGAATAAGCGATTATAATTTAAACTATGGAGTACAAACGATTGAAACATGAATCGTCGACCATTCCAACAAAATATAACAAGACATTGTATTTGTGTTATTTGGTCCACTAAGTTTTTGCAAAAAAAAAAAAAACCAGTACAGTGGGGTCGGTGCATAGTGGGGACGGCGCATAGTTGGGTCGGGGCATAGTGGTGACGGGGAGGTCACAGGTTTACAGGAATTTTAGCTTCGATGCAAAGCGAGAAGGTATTGGTTTTACTCTGATGTGGGCTTTTTTTTTCGCTGTATACACTGTAACTTTTTTAATACTAGACCAATTCCTTCGAATAGCAACTCTATTAATCACAAATTTTGTCTAGTTTGTACTTTGGGGGGTAAAAGTTGAAAAAATTTAAGTCTTCACAGACGAAAGTTGAAAAAACAAAAAAAAACCGTACGAGTTTTTAAGTTAGAACTTTTACTGGCTATAGTATCAAGAAAAAGAGTCGGATCGAGTTGAAATGTTTAAAAAATATTTATTTGGTAAGCCCGCGCACGTCAGTTTTGTCAAATTCAAAATATACCCATTTCCCGCCCCCCTAGGGGGGTACAAGTTTTTTTGTTTTTCGGGGTTTTTAGCCGTAATTTTAAAACTTTTGGGTTGAAAATTTGCCAGTAGTTGGAACTCATATGTACCCATAACATATTAAACGGGAAAAAAATTCGGCACTACAGTTTTTTTTTAATTGCCGGGAAACTGTGTTTTCGCAGATTATGTATATTTCAACAAAAACACCTAAAATCTTTAAAAAAAATTGATCAAATCATTAAAACAATTTTATTTATATCTATGCAGAATGATACTATTAGGTTTTGTGCTCAAGTACCACTCTTGACTTAAAGTTTACATAAAGTTCTTTTTTTTTTTTTTTTTACTTTAGTTCTTTCCGGATGATTAAAATTGAGAACTGATATTAAATTCGTAATCACCGACCCAAAAAACATATAATTTGACCACTTTTGATGTCTTTTACACAAAAATCCAGAAAAATGTTTTAGCTTCGATGCAAAGCGAGAAGGTATTGGTTTTACTCTGATGTGGGCTTTTTTTTTCGCTGTATACACTGTAACTTTTTTAATACTAGACCAATTCCTTCGAATAGCAACTCTATTAATCACAAATTTTGTCTAGTTTGTACTTTGGGGGGGTAAAAGTTGAAAAAATTTAAGTCTTCACAGACGAAAGTTGAAAAAACAAAAAAAAACCGTACGAGTTTTTAAGTTAGAACTTTTACTGGCTATAGTATCAAGAAAAAGAGTCGGATCGAGTTGAAATGTTTAAAAAATATTTATTTGGTAAGCCCGCGCACGTCAGTTTTGTCAAATTCAAAATATACCCATTTCCCGCCCCCCTAGGGGGGTACAAGTTTTTTTGTTTTTCGGGGTTTTTAGCCGTAATTTTAAAACTTTTGGGTTGAAAATTTGCCAGTAGTTGGAACTCATATGTACCCATAACATATTAAACGGGAAAAAAATTCGGCACTACAGTTTTTTTTTAATTGCCGGGAAACTGTGTTTTCGCAGATTATGTATATTTCAACAAAAACACCTAAAATCTTTAAAAAAAATTGATCAAATCATTAAAACAATTTTATTTATATCTATGCAGAATGATACTATTAGGTTTTGTGCTCAAGTACCACTCTTGACTTAAAGTTTACATAAAGTTCTTTTTTTTTTTTTTTTTACTTTAGTTCTTTCCGGATGATTAAAATTGAGAACTGATATTAAATTCGTAATCACCGACCCAAAAAACATATAATTTGACCACTTTTGATGTCTTTTACACAAAAATCCAGAAAAATGTTTTAGCTTCGATGCAAAGCGAGAAGGTATTGGTTTTACTCTGATGTGGGCTTTTTTTTTCGCTGTATACACTGTAACTTTTTTAATACTAGACCAATTCCTTCGAATAGCAACTCTATTAATCACAAATTTTGTCTAGTTTGTACTTTGGGGGGGTAAAAGTTGAAAAAATTTAAGTCTTCACAGACGAAAGTTGAAAAAACAAAAAAAAAACCGTACGAGTTTTTAAGTTAGAACTTTTACTGGCTATAGTATCAAGAAAAAGAGTCGGATCGAGTTGAAATGTTTAAAAAATATTTATTTGGTAAGCCCGCGCACGTCAGTTTTGTCAAATTCAAAATATACCCATTTCCCGCCCCCCTAGGGGGGGTACAAGTTTTTTTGTTTTTCGGGGTTTTTAGCCGTAATTTTAAAACTTTTGGGTTGAAAATTTGCCAGTAGTTGGAACTCATATGTACCCATAACATATTAAACGGGAAAAAAATTCGGCACTACAGTTTTTTTTTAATTGCCGGGAAACTGTGTTTTCGCAGATTATGTATATTTCAACAAAAACACCTAAAATCTTTAAAAAAAATTGATCAAATCATTAAAACAATTTTATTTATATCTATGCAGAATGATACTATTAGGTTTTGTGCTCAAGTACCACTCTTGACTTAAAGTTTACACAAAGTTCTTTTTTTTTTTTTTTTTTTTTTAACTAAAAACCCAGTGTACCAGATGTGAGAAACGAACAGACACTAAAAACTATCAGTTGGTAACGTCTATCCGTGTTAGATTAGGTTAGGGTCCAATGATCGGTATCATAATATTGTGTTATTTACATGATATCATAGGCGACTAAATCGTGTAACTGATTATAGTAGACACTCGATTTATTGGGAAAAAAACCTATCCGTGTACTTATTAAGACATTTAATGATTCTGATACGACAAAACCACTTTCGTTATCTTGTTATTTTATAGCCTGCGTTATATAACCTTACCGAAGGTTAACTATGAGTATTTAATGTCCAACTACCTGCAAATAATGAAGAGGACTGTTGTTTTTTGGATTCAGATTAAGTGTTAGTTTTTATGCAGTATACCGCCTCAAAATGTTTTTTTTATTACACAATTTTTTTAAAGGAAAACTTATGTTTTGTATACTGTTATACTGTTATTCATTTAAAGAGATTCACGCTTGATTGTTTAAATTGTCTAATATTAGATAATCTGCTTCGTGCTAATTTTATTTTTTTAGTTTATCAACTTGTAGCTCTAATTTTGTAAAAAATATTTCATTATTTTATTACTATGTACCATTACTATTAAGATAAATTTTAATAATAATTAAGTCATAAATGATAATACTTTATTTTGTGACTAGATCAGATCTCGTGAACATTTAATATCATGATACTGCTCCTATGCTATTATTAAAAAAACACAATTTTTAAAATCTCCATAATAGGTTATTGTTAAATAACAGGCAACAGCCGACCGCTAGTGGCTATACATGTTAGTAATATTTAACTAATAAGTAATAAATGTAGGTAAAATTTATTGTTTTCTCCATCACAGTACCAGTATACGATTTATTTTAATTTAAATGTAAGAAAATCGATTTTTCTTTAGAAAATAACAAGAAATTAATATACAGGATGAGGCAGTAAAACGGCGATTTTCTAATGTATTTAAATGGTAAAAACCCGTTTCACTATCCCACCCTTTACATTTTAAGGATCTATGAAAAGGTTTTTTTAGTTGCATTTTATTTTGTACATTGTCAATCTAGTAAAATAGAAGTATAATATAGCTTTGAAATAATATAATCTGTGAAGTATAAATAGTTTGTTTGAGATTGCTTTAATGGAAGTATATAATACATAAATATTAATTTTATTGAGAATAAGCGATTATAATTTAAACTATGGAGTACAAACGATTGAAACATGAATCGTCGACCATTCCAACAAAATATAACAAGACATTGTATATGTGTTATTTGGTGTACTAAGTTTTTGCAAAAAAAAAAAAAAAACCAGTACAGTGGGGTCGGGGCATAGTGGGGACGGAGCATAGTTGGGTCGGGACATATTGGGAACGGGGAGGTCACAGGTTTACAGGAATTTTTAAATCTGAAAGTGATAAAATCACTTTCGAAAAAACGCTTCGATGCAAATCGGTAGTTAGTATTTTCAAGCCAGTACAGTCCAAACCAAGCACAGTATAAACCAGCAAAGTTAGAAAGTTTTAAATGAAGATTCTGTATTTACAAATGAGCATCAAAGCGTTTATTTGAAAGCGATTTTATTCAATTTTATCACTTTTATTTATAATAATTCTTGTAGACCTGTGACCACTCCGTTTCCTCATTGCTTTGATTTTTAAATCTGAAAGTGATAAAATCACTTTCGAAAAAACGCTTCGATGCAAATCGGTAGTTAGTATTTTCAAGCCAGTACAGTCCAAACCAAGCACAGTATAAACCAGCAAAGTTAGAAAGTTTTAAATGAAGGTTCTGTATTTACAAATGGGCATCAAAGCGTTTATTTGAAAGCGATTTTATTCAATTTTATCACTTTTATTTATAATAATTCTTGTAGACCTGTGACCTCTCCGTTTCCTCATTGCTTTGATTACATTATGCCAATACTTTACTGTACTAGTCCTCTCGGATAAAATCACTTTCAAATTAACGCTTTGATGCTCATTTGTAAATACAGAACCTTCATTTAAAACTTTCTAACTTTGCTGGTTTATACTGTGCTTGGTTTGGACTGTACTGGCTTGAAAATACTAACTACCGATTTGCATCGAAGCGTTTTTTCGAAAGTGATTTTATCACTTTCAGATTTAAAAATTCCTGTAAACCTGTGACCTCCCCGTCACCACTATGCCCCGACCCAACTATGCTCCGTCCCCACTATGCACCGACCCCACTTTACTGGTTTTTTTTTATTTTGTATCTGCCCAAATTTTAACGAGTAGAACGTATATTTCTTAACGTGTGTAGATATTTTTAACCAGAGGACCAAAATTAGGTTTCTAATTGATAATGTATTAGATTTTATTTTTTACTCTCAATTTTCGTTGTATAAAACTCGCTGTTATATTTGTATAATGAACGATAAAGTGTGTAAACACACAGTAAGTAATATTTATTTTTGCGTTTTATTTACCTTAAATTCGCAACGATATAAAATAACGGGTTTATCATGATTATTACTTTTCTAAATAATTGTAAATTTACTTTCTTATACAAAAGTATTGAAAACACGTCTTAAAATTGTGTTATTTGAGGAAATAAGAAGAAAACATAATTTGATGTGATGTTTTGTATGCTTGTTCAAACAACTACCCGTTAGTAATACACTAATGCCCTAAATAAGAAATGTATCCAAAAACAACATTTTAAAGTCGACCTAGTTATAGGATTTGAATTCTCCAAATTAAAACGATTTTGATTAATATTATATTTTTGGCCATTACATTTTTACATAAGCAATTATAAATGTAGGACAATTTTCAGTATTTTGGATTTAATTTTATAATTGTACAAAAAAAAATAGTTATATTTTAAGGCTATAGAATACATTTCATCTCTCATGGCGTATTTATAGATTAAAATAAATGCTTTGATAACAAGACGAAATAACAAGTACAGTTCAAACCAAGCACAGTTTAAGCCAGCGCAGTCTAAACTAGTACAACATAAACCTAGTTCATTTATAAATTAGCATAGTAGTTCAAGAAGGGTAATTAAGTTGAAAGTGATTTAATCACTTTAGAAAGCTTCAATGAGAATCTGTACATAGTATATAATAGTACAGTCTAAATCAGTACAGCTTAAACCCGTAGATTAAAAATTAAGTTCTGTCTATACCAATACAGTATAAACTTAATACAGTTCAAACCGGCGCAGTAAGAAATTATCAACAGTATCCACATATTCGCATCGAAGCGTTTTCTTGAATTTCAACATCTGTTAAACATTAATGTAAATATATCAATCGTTTCCTTTTAAATCGTATCGCTGTATAATATAGAAATACTCAACATCCCGACCACCATGATTTAGTATTTAAATAGCAAACTATCATTCTCGGAGGAAACCTAAATTTAAATTGGGAGAGTGACAAAGGTAATAAATAAATCGGTTCAAAATACGATGCACAAACAATATTTAAAAGTGATAAAATTTAGTTTTCGTACAATTCATACAATTATCGTACGCTTCTGGCGCTGAGCAGTGTATAGAAAACTTTATGTATGGGTATCATCGGTAATGCACGCTATTGCTCTAATGTATTCGACTATTTTTAAAAATGTTACAATTTTTTGTTTAAGAAAATTCGTAACACGTAAAGAACTAAGTGATTTAACTAAATGGTCACTGAGTCTAGCATAAAATGATTTAATGATTATTAATAATTTTGCAGATAAAAATGATTCTTTTACGTATTTTAATATCGTTTGCTTTGGTAAATGTTTTGGTAGCTGAAGATACAGGTGATTATTTCATTTTTACACTACACAAACTATAAAAAAAAACTCAACATTTTACTTTTTGTTTTGCAGATGAAATAATATATAAAAGGCAGGTTTACCTAACTAGTAAGCAAACATGTTTTTTTTTAATAAAATAATATTTCAAGTCTTGCATTATGATGTATGTATACAATTTATTCCAGACAAATACCTCCAGTATACCGAATACAACACCGATAGAGATTCTCTGCACCAAACAGGTAAAATATACATAAAATAAAAATAAAAACACAACGTTTTTGATAGGTTTGTCTGATTATCAACTTTTAAATTTAATATTATAGTTTTTATAACCTGTTGAGATTATAAATGAATAACGTGTAAAGTAGTAAATTGTGTTTAAAACCAGAGTTGATGTAAATCAAATAATTTATATTGATGGTACTCATATACAATACAGTATCGGCTGTTGTACAGTGAACACGTATTCTACCGCGAAAATGCATAGTTTATTTTTCTCTCTTCAATAATTTCATACATCACATTATGCTTAAAAATGATACACATATTAAAAGAACTGGTACATAAGCCAACGTGTATCGAGTTGAGCCAAGGTTAAATGTTATACTATTGTCATTAAAATCATTACAGCCATCTCAAGATACCAAGCTTGCAACAATTAAAAGTAACCTTAGTAATTACGAAAACAATGTTTTCTCTATCCAGACAACTATGAGTAACATAACAGCTACCCTTAAAAGTTTGAAAAAGGAGAATGATTCAGTTTTAAAAACTGAAATTAAGCTATTACACGACAATATACATCAACTAGAATCTGCCGCACCGTCAAATAATTCCATTGTAGATTTAACTAGAGAAACCCAAGACTGTATGCGTAGAGCTCATAATTTTATTGTTTACAATATACCTGAAGAATCAACCGAAGACTCTAATTCTGTCCATATAACAACAAAGAATTGAATTGCTGCTTTGAACATTGATATACCTATTTGTAATAATAAACGCTTAGGTAGACAACCAGTGGAAAAAGGTCGCCCATTACTCATCAATCTCAAAAGTATTAATGATGTTTCCATCTTACTTAAATGTAAATCGAAACTCCGCACTCTGAAGAACTGAAGTCCTTTACATTCCTCGAGTGCGTTGAGTACATTTTATCGAACGCTAGTGCTAATACGACTGTTATTTTGGCAGTTGATTACAATCCAACGGGTGTTAAATTGTACAACGATGTAGTTGGTTTTAATATAGTGGATGCCGGTTCTGCGTGGCGTTCTCTAATATGTATCAACATAACCCAGCTCCTCTTAATGTTAATGGCACATCTCTTGATCTACTATTTTAAAATTCTAGTCCAGTTTGGGTAAATCAAGCTTTAGATATATTAGTGCCTCTTGATTCTCATCGCCCAGCACTTTCAATAGTTTCTAATGATAATACTCCTGTTCAACATGCTTGTCGGCCCACTTGTGTATATAATTTTAAATCAGGTGACTATATAGGTATGTCTTATTGACTAGCTATGGCGAACTGGTTGCCTTTATATGATTGTGAAAATGTGAATGACGCCTTAGATATTTTTCATAGTTTGGTTCTACAAAACGTTGATATTTTTGTTCCCAAAGTACTTCCAAGTAAGGCATCTTATCGAAGTTGGTTCTCTAAGGAACTTCGTAGTTTAATACGTGAAAAGAATAAATCATATAAAAAAAATTAAACGCACAGGCTCTCAATTTATGATGAACTTACTCTTACTCTTAACCCTAAGTATTTTTGGAAGGTTGTCAAAGATAAAAAAGAAAACTGAATCATTCTCAAGTAGTATGGAACTTAATGGCAAATGGTCTAAGATGGTCCTATACACTTTTAATTTATAATTTTACTCTGATATCTTTCCTAGTAGATGGAAGTCAAGTTATATCCCTCCAGTTTTTAAATAAGATGATAAATCAAATATACTTAATTATCGACCAACATCTAAATTATATGCCTTGTCTAAGTTGTTTGAAAAGCTAGTAGATAATAATATATCTGTAGTCTTTAAAAATGTGTTATCTAGTTGTCATATGGTTTTCGAACTTCCAAATCAACTGTCACTAATTTGCTTGTCTTTTATGCTGATATAATTTCTGCTGTTGAATATTTATACAAATTGAGTTCATAAATGACTACTTCAATCTTTCAATAAGATTTTCACAGATTTCACCATTGGTGTGTCTCTAATAGTCTTAGTCTTAATGTAAATAAATGTTTTCAAATTTTGTTCATAATTTAGTTAAAGTTTTTCACATAAGAGATCTTGGCGTTACGTTTGATTCTGATCTGTCTTTTAACGAATACAGCTGTCATGTATAATAAAACTTTACGAACCTTTGGGTTCCTTAAACGTGATTGCTGGGAATTTTCAGACCAGGTCTGCCTCAAATTACTATATTGTGCTCTTGTTCGTTCGTTAGTCGAATACAGTACTATTATTTGGTCTCCTTATCAATCAGAGTTATCTAATAAAATTGAAAGCCTTTAACGACGATTCTTAAGAATGTTAGCATATAAAACAAACAAAGTCGGGGCAGATCTAAATGTTATCGCATCTAATATTAAACTGTCTAGCTTAGCTCATCGTCGATATGTTGCAGATGTCTGTTGGATTCGTGGTCTAATTAATAGTACTATTGACTGTCCTGAATTATTAAATATGTTTTCTCTTAATGTTCCTTCCATTTTCTTGCACTTAGTATACACACCGAATAATACTTCGGTGAATGAAATGTTAATGGCTTCAAATAAAGCAATACATAATTATAAATTGGACTTATTTATGATTACTTTAGCCAGATTAAAAAGTATTCTTAATGATGTTGTTTAATTGTTTATACATAATTTCTCTTTGAGTGCTATTGTAATTATTCTTAACTTATGTTTATAAGATATTATTCTATACTCTATTGCCCTTCGAAAGTAAACTATTTTTAAATAATTAAATAAATATAAATGCATATAATTATATGGGTATTTTGGTAAGTTTTGTATAACAGAGAACAATTAGAAATGTTGAAAAAAAAAATTTGTTTAATTGCAATTTACCCCCAATATTTTTTAATAATATTATACTACATATTCTTTTTTTTAACTATCTATAAACCCAAGTATTGCTTAAGTAATTCATAACTTTTTTTTAGCTCAACTTATTTTTGTTTATTCTAGATTTAATGAAAATAATTACAAACATTATTCTTGGACAATATACGATGGGTAATCATAATTAAATAGTAAAAAATATAATGATAATGATAAAGTATGCTAGAAGAAAAAACTATTTTTAAATTAAATATGATTTTTTTAAGTCATAAATCTTAAAGTTTACTTTAAAATCTATAGCAAATATTTTTACCAAACAACGCTAATGTAACTAATTTTAATTACACCTAATCATTGTATTTTATTTTACTCGAAATAACTGCTGCAATTCAACTAGTTAATTTCCATAATCTCTACTCAATTTACTATAATAAATCCGGTAATATTTTTTTCCAAATTTATAAGACATATATACGAGTATACTTGATTTTTGTCTTATGATTTCAATAAAATACAAAATAAATGTAATGTCATTAAATAATACATTCGTTTTATGTTCATTTCAGTGGAAATAGCATTAATGTTGGTAGAACCGGGTAATAATTTTACCATAACATATTTTTTGGTATATATCCAAAAAGTTTTGATATTCACTAAGTTTAAAATGGCTCTATTTTAATTTCAGAAAACCAAGATGTCGTATTTATAGAGCCTGGTAAATATTTAGTAGTTTATTATTCATATGAATTGAGAACAATGATATATTTGCACATTGCTTCCTATCATTGTGACTGATGTACATTCAGATTGTGTATGTGATCATTTCAGTATAGTTACTCGATATTCATTAAGCACAAAATGTTTTTATTTTAGTTCCAGAAACACAAGAGAACGTAGCCAAAGAAAATAAAAGTAGTAATTAATAATTCATATAAATTGACAAATAATCATAGACTTTTATTTTGATTTCTATCATAAGGAATGATGTATGTTAAAATTTATTTTGTATGGAATTTTAGAAAAGTCACACAAATGTATGCTATCAAAACTAAAATTTAAAACAGGTAAATAATTTAATTTTTTTATACGAATAACTATTAAATTTTATTTTTGTAAATTTCTTAACCAAAATTATAAATATTTTTTTGAAATACAAAGTCTTTGTATTTTTTGCTTAAGATATCGTTGATCGATCAAAACATAGTTTAAATCGTTAATTTAACATGTCTATTAGAAGTTTTTACATTATTTTACATTGACTTATTTTTCAAAAAATTCTCAATTATAGGATTACTGCTATACAGGGTGATTCATTAAAGATAAAATTTGTAGTTTTTCTTTTTAGACATACTTTAGTTTATGTAGTTTTACATTATTGGACAATATTAAAATTTTGTATTATTTTCATTTTTCTCCAGAGCTCTATTACTTTTAAAATTGAAATTGTAACCGTTTTATTTATATTAAATAAGTCTTTAATACATTTAGTTAAATAAATAAGTTTTACTTATACCTAAGTGTGTTTCATGGAATTTAGTAATTATGTACTTACATGTGGCTTTAGGTACTATTAAACGACATCTGATCTGTTTGTACTGAGACTACTTCTTGCCCATATACAAGTCGTTGAAATTTCTTACATGCAAATTTAATTGATACCATCTGTTTTTGTGCATATTTCTGTTCTGTAGTATTAAGACGTGGGTGCATAGTAAACTTGCCTATTTTTTTTTGAAAAAGACAACATCCTATAGCTCATTGTGATGCACCACATTCAATTTTTAAAGTGTAGTTTTTTTGTTAACATTCTTATCTTCTGATCTATATCGTTATTATAACATGATTATGCATTATTAACATGCATATTTATTTGACTATACAAATTAAGAATAATTTTCTGAACAAATTGACTGGTCGATGACCAAATCTAGATAACTACTTGTCAAAGTTTAAAATTTCTGTCGGGAGGTGGAGTGTGGTAGAGTAATGCACGTGGATAAAAATTGCTCTACATACCACTCTTTCTCCCGTCCTAAATGTTAAACTTAAATTACATTAAAAATAATTATCTAAAACTGGTTATCGATCAGTTAACATTTTCAGCAAGTTATTCTTAACTTATATAGTTGAATAAATATAATATAAGTTAACGATTAAGTTTTAAAATTGTACAAAGCTCTAGGAAATACCTAAAAAAGGCAAATGTTTAGTAATTTTATAGTACTGTAAAATAACATAAACAAAAATGTTTTAAAAAGAATCGTTACAAAACTACAATTATATTAAGATATTTTGATTGTTTTATCCTTAATAAATCACCCTGCAAATAAAAATAAAACCTGGTGTTTTTAACAATATAATTTGGTTTTATATGTTGGTTATAGCTATAAAATCACCTGCAGTTCAAACAGGTAATCAAAATATATATAAATTTTTTGGAAATATGGCTAGGAAAATTGCTTATTGTTATTATTGATAACTTTCATAATGAATAATATGTTGTAATATTATAACACTAAGGTAGTATAAGAGTTATTGTTAAGTGGAAGTTTGGTATTTGAATAATAAACACAAAACAAAAAAGTTAAGTGATTAATACACTACTATTGGTAAATACATAAAGTAATTACAATAACAGATAATATTATTACATAGTAGAATATAATAAACAGTGTGACATTAAGATAAGTTAGACAAGGTTAGATACACGTGTGTTTACAAAAACAACATTGTTATTGCTTAAGATATATGTTATTGTAACATACCTAAGTATTTATATTATAATGATAAATACAAAAATTATTATTGTAACTAATAAATCCTGTTGTTTAAAATATTAATTCTTATTCCAACATAATATACATTAAAATGTAATATGAAAATATTTTCACACAGATGTATTGTACTTGGGGAAATGGAAAACGCCAATTTTTTTACAAATAAAACCTATAACAAAAGTTACGTTCTGAAGTGTCTACTAACATCTTCTCTATGAGGGCTTAAAGGCCGATTTTTTTATTTCGGTTGTTTAAATTTTACCATAAACGTTTATATTTTTACTTTTTTGTAGTTTTTTTTCTAATAAATCTAACTATTTTCTAACAGCTCTATACAAAATCGCCCTTTCACTCCCCATAGAGAAAATAGTAAGCTTTTCATAACAATTGAAATCCGTAAAATAGATATGCCGAAAAATGACTTCTATGAAAACCATTTTTTATCAAACTTTCGCCATAACACGGAGAAAAATAACTTCAAAAATGTTATAATTAGAAAAATTTGATATCTTTTTATAAATAGTTTTTCCCGTTCACATTGATTTAGAAACACAAAAGGACGTAGAGAAAAAGCATGGTAAATTTTAGATTGTTAATTTTGTACTTAAAGTATGTTAAAAAAAATAAAGTTAACACGGAATAATTAAAAACAGGTAATTTAAATTTAGTTTTTATCATTGGATATGGTAGAAACTAATCAAAAAATAAAAAAAATGTTTACCAAACAATTTTTTCTAACTATAAAGTAGACCGAGTTACAAATTTAGAATATGTAGAATGGTGGCGTATAGGGTTATTGTTATATGCGTGAATTATATAACCACAATTTAATTCCCAGCCTATATTTTCAACTCTAAAAACTTTAAAATTAACGATTCGAAATTAGTTGTCAACCAGTCATAAAGTTCGGAAATTTATCCCTAATTTAAAAAAAATGTACTGTATGCATTGCCGTTAAACTTTTAAAAGTTACGATCCTTCTAACTCTAGAGTAACTCTAGAGAAGCTAGCTTCTGACTAAACATAAATACAAAAACTATATCTAATATTGTACAACAAAAGTTACAAATGTTTTATATTAAAAAGTTGTTTTCAACATTTTAGTTTACCGGCAAGAATCGGGTGTTACATGAAATACTGAACAGCCTGTATAATGAGAATAATCATAGACTTACATATTCATTTCTGTCATTATGAATGATGTACAATTTATTATGGAAATATTTTCATATAGTTATTTGATAATTTGATAATTTTATATTTATAAAGTATAAAATATTTTTATTTTCATTTCAGAAACACCAGAAATCTTAACCATAAAGCGTGGTAAATTTTTTAGTAGTTAATTATATTATTTAAGATATTAGATTATTCGTATATAACGAGAACAATCGTATACTTGTATATTGGTTTCTATTACAATGAACGATGTATATATAAATTTATTTTGTTTCGAATTTTAGAAAAGTTATGGTACCAAAAAAATGTGATATCAGAAATAGAAGCTGTAATAGGTAATGCAATTATTATATTTTAGCGGAGCTGAAAAGGTATTACAGTAGGCTCCCAGTAACCCGGCAGATATCAGACAAGGGTACTGCCGGATTTGTGGACGTTCATTGATTGGATTGGTCAGCATGAGTCAATAATTTTATCGAATATTCATCAGGAATGCCCCTATCTGCAAATAGTCTTAAATCCAAATTTGAATAACCCTACGTCCCTCAGTAAAGATTGATATTTTTTTATACTACAGGCGCAATTTTAATATTTTAGAGCTATAAACTAGATTGATGATTGGGCTATTATATATCTATAACTTATAAAAAATAAAAAAATTAACGGTAACTACATTTTTTTTCAGTAAGGAAAAACACCAAAAATCTTAAAATTTGGATTTAGAAAGCAACATTGGAGCTTAACTTTAATATTGATTGTCTTGTTTTTAATGAATCACGCTGTGAATAATAATAAACAATTTTTTGAGTGGTATAACTATTTTATATTTTCGTTATAGGTAAAAGGTGCTCTAACCCTACAGCAAAAGGTAATAACAATCATACATAACATTTTCGTAGATATATGGGTTAACGGCTAGTGTACAAGTTAATACGAAGTAAGGGTAAACACTGAATTTTGCGGTAGAAGGTTGGTTAGTCCCCCTATCTCGTTAGTCTTCTAACCAAGTCAAATTGCGAATTGTTAACCTGGTCGCTCAACAGGGATTCGAGCGTTAATGATGTGCGTTATACAGGGTGGTCCACGGGAATAGGGACAAAAATAGATAAACATAACTCATATACAGGGAGGTTCATTTGCGATCACTAGCGATTTTTCTGCTTATTTTTAAGAGATAGGGTAGACCCTCTGTTGCCAGAATGTTGTTTAAAAATGATGACTCTTCATAACTATACTCACAAAAGGGAAATAAAAAAAAAATGTTTAGGGAAAGGGTTTATGAAAATTGTTTATGTTAGTCATCATAATATATTGATTACCTATGCAAAAATAATATAAAAATATATTCAAAAATATTGAAATACTAAAAGTTCTTTATACATTTGGAACTTTAGTAAAAAATAGGTACTAATAAATTCTAGGTTATATAAACATTTGCAAATGTATTACATTGTGAACTGATTACTTGTTTTCTTATTTATTACCAAGACAATATATTTAGATATTATACGATGACAATTTTGGGAGAAGGAAGAAGATTGGCAATTTATAAAGATGTAAGCAAATTGATCAGTACAGCTGTATTAGGTAAATATTCATATTTCATATAGAAATTGTTATCTTTTTATATATGTATCCAGTTTTGTAAATAATTTTGCACTAATTTTGTTGCTTTATTCTAATATTATATTATAATAATCATAATTCAATTACAAATCAATATATTTAATAGTATAAAAGCTTCCGAATAAAAGTTTCTATTAAAGTAAATTATTATACAAATCACGGTTTTTAATTTTTTCCAGATTTTTGACGGTGTTTTTTAATTAAAATTGTTTTGTTTTGTTTAAGGAGGAAACCCTGACTTGAAATTTGATACATCAGATTTGTCATACAAGTGTCGTTTATTTGGAGTGCGCATGGGTTTACACAACGTTTATAATAAAAAAACATTTATAAAATCTGCTTTAGTTCAAGATGAAACTTGTATTCTAAAAGATCTATACAACATTGAAACGACACTGAAAATCATGCCTGACGGAATTTGGGAATATAACGCTAACGATACTAAACTAAATTTCAGTCAATATGTTAGGGAAAACTTGTTAAATAATGTTCTACAGAAATCCTAAGGACAACTTCTTCTAATTATAATTTATTATTATTATTATTATTATATGTAAATCACATTTTCATGCCTTCTAATATCGAAATTGTCAATTAATATAATGTCTTTAAAAATGAATAGTTTCAATCATGGTTATAAAATTATTCCTTCTTTATGTGTTTCATTTATATTGTCGTTTAATATTTTCCCGTGTATACTGATAATAACTAATAAAACCACTTTACTGCACTTCAACTTCGTGGTTTTTTAGATAGATAGATAAGTTTATTTAATTTATTCTATACTATGACAAAATCAACAAGTTGGTTTAGCAAAATTCAATTTTATAATTTGTCGGGCCATTTAATTTTGAACCTGCCAAGCACGTCATGTCCTTGTCATCCCTTACTTATTTCCCTTTTTTGTATAATCGATGTGAGTGCAAACTTCTTCCCAAATCGTTCAGGGTGTTGTCCACTTGAGTTTGAAATACGCGAATCCGGACAATAGATTGGAGTTTATAATCAAATTAAATATACTAAAATATGGTTATAACGTTAATATACTCACTGCAACCAAATTAATGTCTGCACTCTCTTCGAAATATATTAAAAACCGATTATTTGTTAAAAGTCGAATTAGTCTTGTACAGATCAAAAATACATTAAATACAAAAATACAAAATAAAAAAATGTTCTCTTGACAGAAAGATATTGAACTGTGTACCTATCTTAAGGTACTATTAAGGAACCCTAATTAACAGATTTATTTAACAGTTAAAATGGGCAAGGATATTGAACTTTATGAACAAAAGACAAGTTTGTTAGAATTTTGACTAAAAATACTTAACTGATATTCGGTATCCCGGCTCTTCTCTAATGTAAAAGTAATAAATATAACAAATTTATGCATACGTCGTCTTTGGTAACTTTTTTAGTAAATTTACAATTGTAGTATAAGAAAAGAGTGTCTCAAAGGTTTGACAGGTAATCCCAGTTATAAGACATGATTTTGTATAAACGGCAATTGAGTGATGTAAACCACAACGACGATGATGATATACTACAAAGACTATGGTTACTTAATTAAATAAATTAAGGAGCTATGGACAGTCTCATATCACAGGCCTATAATAATTATAATACGTTGAATAATATTTAAATTAGTCGTGTGTTTTTTTCGATTTTAATAATAATTTTGATGTATCATTTTTTGTGTACACAAGTGTCCCACAGTCTATAAAGTTTTAAAATGCAATTAAATTAAAATTATTAAAAAAAAAATGCCATACTGACAAATATTAAATGAACACATATTATGTATAATTAAATAATTGCTAGGTACTCCTAAACGGTATTTCTCAGTACTGTGTCTCTTCTTCTTTATCTTCGCCTTACACGCCTTTTACGTAAATTGATCCAATTCTGAGTTTTCGAGATTTAAGTAAGAAAATTTGACCAAATGTAGATCTAGAAGGCACTATACCATAATTTTCCATTTTCTCAATTATTTGTTGTCTCCTTTTTTTTCAAAGAAAATACAAAATAATAAAAAGGAAAAACTACACTTTGACTGTAGTCAATTTTCAGGTTGCTATGTGTGAGTGAATCAACAGTCAAAGGTTATCCAAAAATATTTTCATTAAATAGTTAAACACGACATTTAGGTATCTATGGCAATTAAATACTATAAACTAAAATTTATTTTTAAGCAAAATATTGTCATTAGCTACAATGGTATTATCCATATTTGCATTTTTATCTGTGAACCTCATTTACTTAACTTTTTTTAAACAAATTACATGTGCATTCATTTTGTTATTCTTTTGATTGATATATTATGCAAACAAGCAAAACAATTTTCTGTATTCTGAAATATCTTAAAGAAATATTAATATCTTAAATTAATTAATTTACATATTTGATTTTTTTAAAAGTTTATTTAAATGTTTATTCTATGTGTTATAAACTTCTCAATCGGCAAGTGTATGTATTCAGTCGATTTTTTCTTAATTCAACATCTAAACAAAATTCAAATATCTTTAGTGAAATTTGTTTATCGAGAGAGCTGAAAGTAAATATGATTTTTGTATCGATAAAATTGCAAAAACAATAATTTAGTGAAAATTCTGTAATATAAAAAGTTAAAAGAAAATAATTAAAACTCTACGTCAGTATTATGTAAATATGTAACCATGGTGAATAAATAAAACAGCTATGTAAACTAACATAAAGGCACACTGTAAAATGTATTCCGATTTTACTGTTTCGTTAGATAAGTAATGCCATAGACAAGAGACAAGAAAGTCACATGAACACAATTAAACAAGCTGATTTTCTAAAAAGGTGAATACATTCAAATACCTAGTTATGTAAGTAATACTATCAAGTTTTAAACGTTTTATATACGCTTGTAATCATATGCATTAGGTAAATTGATTTCCTAACTAAAATTTTGATCAGGTAAGTCACCTTTAAAGTACGAATTCTATATCTTTCCATAAAAAAAAAAAACCTATTTTCTTTAATCTAACCTAACGAAAAAATATTGAACTATAGATATGTTTGTGTCAGCATATAAACATTTACCTTCCCCCTCTGCCCTCCCTTTCCTCTATCTAAAAATATCATTCTTCTACTTGGAACCGCAATCACATTCTATAATGTGGACAGATAGCTTTGCATATTCTTTGACGTGACGATTATTATTATTGATTGACCCCCCAACTCGAAATATGTTAATGTTAAAATCATTATAGCTGTCTAGCAGCTAATGTGGGTTTTGTCAATAAACGAAAAAGTAAATAAAAATAAACATGTAATAACACCACTTTTACAATTCTGGTGGCGACTGTAACAAATATTAATAGCTTTTATTTTTTTTTTATTATTTACAGATAAAAATGAACCCTTACAGTTTTATAATATCGTTAGCCTTTGTGAATGTTTCGTCAATTTCTACAAAAAGTAATAATTTTTTTTCACACTTGAAGTAGTTGTCAATTTAAAATAAAATAATATTTCACTTTTTTACAGTTGATTATACGAAAGACGTTGTCATTACAAGTCAGTAACATTTTTGTTATACAAAACTAATAATTTTACTGTTTAAATATATATATATTTAATTATGTACTACAGACGAACATATCCAGCTTGCTTTTAAAATGAATAATTTTACTATAAATGATAAAGTTATATTAAGTAAGAAATATTTAAAATTATTATACTAATATAATAATTGTATAAAAATAAAAATTATATAGTTTCTATAAACCATGCACGAGGAATATACGAGTTGAACCAATATTCTAAATACTTTGAGTTTTATTAAAGTTATAAACATTATTTTTGTATAATTAGTTTCTATAATTTCATATACTTTGCTTTAGGACAATAAAAACTTAAAGAAAGTGCTGGTCATTCTGATGATTTTTATGTTTATTATCATTTTGTTTAAATTTTTTATTATGGCTTAAACCTTTATTTTTTAATTCAAGATGGATTGGAGCATGTAATTAAAAAAATTATCGAGAACAGACGAAACCTTTTTGGTAATTATAGTAACACAAAAATAAAAATAAATAAAGATAAAAAGTAGTAAAAAAAAAACCGAACCCATTTCTTCCGAGTTACTAATACCCTTGTTTTTCTAACTTAAAATTATTTTTCCGGTTTATTATGTTAATTTCAGAAGATATGAATAACATGTTAGTTGTACCGGGTAATATTTTTCAATAAATATAATGGACATTTTTCCACACGGTTGTATGATATTCCTTAAGTACATAATGTTTTTGTAATAATTTCAGAATATGAATCCTTTTATCACTACTGGGGTGGTAATGACATATTTATATTCCATATTAATAATAATTTACCATAATTTACACATATAGACAATAATCATATTATATAAATAAAAAGTGGTTTCAATCACAAAGAATAAATTATTAAAATATGAAATATTTCCCCAGAGTTGTTTGATATTTATTAAGTACACAATGTTTTTGTGTTCATTTCAGAATATCCATCATCTGGTCTCAACTGGGATGGTAACTACTTATTTAAATTCCATATTTACAATAAATCACACAATGTTATTATTTATACATATGAAGAATACATACATCATGAATTCAGTTACAAAATGTATCTTATTAAAATTTAATTTATGTAAATTTACAGCGTTAAAGGTACTTCAACAACGTTTGCGAGACGTAATACGATTGGAATTAGGTAAGTTTTAAGCGAACATTTTTAAAATCTTTTATTCCTTTACTCTAAAGAAAAACGATAAAAATTAAATTAGAGTTATATCATATTATCGCTTTATATTTTTTGCATTAGTCTTAATTTCAAATATAATTTTAACCGTTAATTCAAAAGTTGCTATTGTAATAATTATATTAATATTATTACAAAATTTGGCATTAATTATTTAGTAAATTGTTCCCAGTTTTAGAATGATTGTTATTGGATATTTGATATATTTGTTACAGATATTCCTGTTCCTGAAGTTCCAGACGAAAGTAATTACGAATTTTTCTATATTCGTTAATGACCTTTAAGTGTTGTTTAGAGTTGAAATTTGCATAGGATATGATTGAGGACGGCCGGTGTATGCTAAAATGATGTGGAGATGGTGTTGAGTAAATAATTTTAGTACAAGGTTGGCCGACTCCAAATATTTGGGATCGTGAAGGAAGAGAAGAAAATTCATTGTATTTATATGTACATATACATAAAAAAAACAGTTATATTATGCTATAATAGTATGTTAGGTATTTAGTATTTATTATGTAAATAAATTATGAAAAACTTTTTTAAAAAATTATATAAAGATATATATATATAGAAAAAATAATTATGATTGCTGTTATTTTTTATCAACACAGTCATTTAAAATGTTTGCAGATTTCAGAAGTTTAGTTTTGGAAGAGCTTGGAGCAAAAAGAAGAGAATTTACTGGAATAGCTTTAAGAAATATATTGAAACGGACAATAAGTAAATACTTATAAATCAAATACATTTACAGTAAAATTTCAGATGGCGTTACCATTTGGCAATGTAAAAAAAAATGTATATAATTATAAATAAATTATGACGAGACATGTTAAGTTATTAAACATTTGCGTGTTAGCAATGCAGGTATTTGTTGTTTGGTATCGTATCAGAGAGCCGGTTGAACCATTTAATTATTTGACAACTTTTGTTATTAAAATAAGGTTATATTTGTTTAAAACGTTTACTATAAAATTCTAATTAAGTAAGGATGTTTTGTTCAATCTTTAATACTAATGGCTGGTTGTACAAGAAAATTAGTACTACCAAAGTTAGTTGGAATGTAATACAATTAAAAAACTATTACGAGCATGAACCAACTAAATTATTTTAAATTTGTATTATTTTTTATCAACGCGGTTATTTATAAACTTTTGCAGATTATGGAAAAACAGAAAATGTGACCAATCTTATAAATAAGAGAAGTATCGGTACAGACACGGAAAATAGAATCAGCCGAACATTAGGTAAGTTTTTTTTCATATTGTTCTTTTACAATGTTGTCTCAGTTTTTCACAATTTTTTTTTGTTTTCCCACCCCCGCAAACTTAGTTTATTTGAAACTTCATTGGTAACGCATTCATTTTAGCGGCTTTTTAATTTAAGAAGTTTTGGTGTGAATCTGTGGATGGTAGAACAAATACCAACAAAATATGTGTGTTGATAATAATGTGCTGAGAAGTTTGACTTCTTCTAGAAAAAAGGATGTTTGATATAAAAAATTACTGAAACTCGAGTGGGGTATTATATATTTACACTATTTACATGACTTGAGGTTACTCCCACTTGGACGTCTTGACTAGTTCGCCAACGTTTCGGAACACTTGCACGTTCCATCTTCAGGGTTGTGGTTCGATGTTGGATGTAATTCATACATCGCATCGGTCAAACCAAACGACCTATCGAAGTACGTGCAAGAGAACACGAAAAAGATGTGGACTACAAGAGAACTGGAAAATCGGCCGTAGCAGAACACACGGGTCAAGAAGGTCATAGCGTACACTTTGAAGAAATCAAGGTCCTGTCCCGGGAATCCCATTACTCGAAACGCAAGGGTCATATTTCGTTTTTTGCAACTTTGCAGGATAAACCAAACAAACATTTAAATTTAAATTCTTATTTTGTTTTTTAACATCTTGAAAAATGCACAACAAACTTCAACCGAGAGATGGTTGGAAATTGAGCAAAACGTGGAAACCGGTGACACATCAATTAAAAATAAGACCAAAGGAAACCGGAGACCAAACGGGACGAACAGAGCCGGAAATACAGCGAGAAACTATTGATAACGGAAACGATAATCAGCATGCGGCAGCCGGCCAAGGCGAAGGGGCGTGGCCGTAGAAAACAGCTGGCAGCGGCAAGAGGAAGCGGAGAATGCGGTGGGGGGTATGGTATATAACCTACGCCCTGGGAAGCGAATCGGTCAGTCTGCAGGAGAGCGCGGTACGAGCAACATCGAACCACAGCCCTGAAGATGGAACGTGCAAGTGTTCCGAAACGTTGGCAAACTATTCAAGACGTCCAAGTGGGAGTAACCTCAAGTCATGTAAATTGTTGTAGATTTTTGATATTTTTTTTTAAGAGGTTTTAAATGTTTATCGATAGTACTTTATCTAAAAAAATATTGATATTCTTTGAACTACCAATATAACCAATTGGTTTTTTTTTTAGTTTTGGACAACTATTTTTGAAGTTGATGAAGTTTCAAGTTTAGGGCAGGAGGAAAGATGGAGAGTAGAATTATTTTTAACTGCACGCTCTTCCCAACCGCAATTCTCCTCCCATCTCCTATCCTTCCACCTTTATAACTTTAAAAATAGTTGTTCGAAACTAGTTATCAACCAGTCGACATTTTTAGTACATTATTTTCAATTGAAAAAGTTAACGCAATTTATGCGTTACCATAAGTTTCAGAAGTTATTATCACATTGTATAAAAACAGTGTGAAAAAAATAAATCAAATATCATATTAAATCCTATGAGATATTGAATGGTTTACAATAAAATATAGATCACCCTGTACAGAGTTGGGATGGTTTTTAACCCATTATTTATTATATTTATGTATAAGTGTTGTAACGTCACTTTTTCCACAAAGTATTTAATAGGTATAATCCACAACAATATATCAAGAATAAAACTAGTTTTAATTTTTAGAAATAGAATACAAATTTGTAATTAATATCTAGTTACTATTAACATATAATTCTATTTCATCAAAATTGTTGCTCAATAAGTATATTGTGCATATTCTTTTAATATTTTATTTTCAAGTAACGTAGTTGTGTCTTGTACTATAAAAATAGAAGTAGTAACTAATTGGTGAATAAAACATTTTTTTAATTTTATAGCTGGACCTGAAAGGGAATTATCATTAACATGCATGTGTCATATAATAGCATTGTTCATAAGTACAAAATCTCCAGAGTCGCATATAAAATATATGCAGCTAAACCCTGATGATACTTGCACCCTAAAAGATGACTACTTTGATAGACGGGATAAAATATATAAAACGTACGGAAAATTTAACGGTCAATGGTGCCAAGTCATCGGTAATGAAGTACAACCACTTAAGGAAATATTATGATAATTATTAATTTTATTGTATTTAAATAATAATTTAATTAAGCACTATTATCCAAGTTGATAATTTACATTTTAATTTAATTTATAATAAACAGTTTTACTAACGATTATAATCACATTTGTTGCTTGTGTGTTGATTTTAACAGATACTTAATATTTATACCATATTATACAGTTCGGTTTGAAGGATTTTTTCAATTAAAAATTGATCTATTCTCTGTTCTACCCAACTGTTGACATTTGTACGCCATTATTTATTTCTAGTTTGTTTTGAGTAATTCAATACTAATTATATATCTAAAGTCGGAATATTTTATGTAATATATAATGTCATTCTAGCATCTCTTGAAAACGAAACTCCTCATCAGCTTGAAAAAAACGTAATAGATTTCGAGATAATTATAATTTATGTAATTAATGCGTTTTTTAGTGGAGTCCAGATTCAGGATTGTTTCTTCCATGGATGGCTATGCAAAGACAAATTCAACAACCTGTATTAGCAAAAGTCATTTTTACAATTTTTCGGCCTCGATACCATTCGAAATATTTTTCGTTGCTAACCCAAAATAAACACTTGGTTTGTGACATTGGTAACCACGGTACTCGAATGGTAGGTGATGATTAATTTTATGTTGTGGCCAAAAGTTTTTTAGCAGTTTTTTAATAACTGGCCTTAATCGATTTATTGGCAAAACGTTCACTTGGCTAGTTATTTTGAATCAATTCATTAACCATTAATTTAAGTTTGTTCGTCGTGAAAAGAACACATAATTAAAAAAATTTAACATCCCCTCCCCATCCTCATCCTCGACCTAGACCTCAACCTCGACCTCATCCCCTCCTCATCCTCCACCTGGATCTCATCCTTGACCTCATCCTCATTCTCGACCTCATCCTCATCCCCATTTCCACCTTCATCCTTATAACCATCCCCACCCCCAACACCATTTCCACCTCATCCTTCATCTCTAACTCTCACCCTTGTCTCTTAACCCCTATTTCTCACCCCTATCTCTTATCTCTTATCACTCTTATCAGATAAATCAGCTGTTATTTTTCGTTATGATAACCGGTGTCGGTTTTGATTTTTTCCGGTTGTGTTCCAAAGTAAAAACCATATATCTTATCTCTCTTATCTTAACAGATAAATCAGATGTTATTTTACGTTATGGTAAGCGGTGTCGTTATGATAATCGGTGTCGGTGTCGATTTTCCGTGTGTGTTCACATAGCAAAGACATAAAAATGTCAATATTTGAGATTTTGAGCTAAAGAAATGTAAAAGAATAGTTATGTTTTTAGACATTATTTTCTATAAACGGTAAATGCGTGATATAAGTTATGAATACTAGACCTCCTTTACTTACTACTACTCACTTACACTCAATTTAACAAATTACATATGCATTTGTTTTATTAATCTTTTGATTATGATCTTAATACGTTTATAATTTTTTTATACAGCACATACGATATTTCTAAAAATAAGTAAGAATAAAGAAAGCAAACAGACAACATCATTTCTATATTCCAAAATATCTTAAAGAAATTTTAATATCTTAAATTATTTTTTTTTAACTTTTTGATTTTTTTAAAGTTTATTTAAATGATTATTCCATATATTATAAAATTCTCAAACGGCAAGTGTTTGTATTCAGTCGATTTTTCGAAAATGTAAGCAAAATTCAAATATCTTTGGTCAAATTTGTTTATCGAGGGATCTCAAAATAATTATGATTTTTGTGCCGAACAAATTGCAAAGACAATAATTTATTGAAAATTATTTTTTTATACAAATTTAAAAGAAAATAATTAAAAATCCACGTCAGTATTATAAAAATATCTAATCATATTGAATAAATAAAACATGAATAAATTATTTTAAATTTGTATTTTTTAACAACGCGGTTATTTATTAACTTTTGCAGATAATGGAAAACCAGAAAACGTGACACATCTTATAGATGAGAGAAGAGTTGGTACAGACACAGAAAATAGAATCAGCCGAACATTAGGTAAATATTATACAGGTGGTCATTTTATCGTAAACCACTGTTTTAGTACAATGTGACATCAATTTTTATAGCATTTGGTAAATGCTATTTGTACATAGTGATAATTTGACAGTGAACCACTCAGTATCTTATAGAGTTTAATATGAAATTAATACTACTAATTGTAAATTTAATTTTTAGCAATAAACATAACAAATGATAACTAGAACACAAATTTGTACTTTTATAAAAATATCTAGTCACTACCAACACATACTTCCATTTAGTATAAAAAACATCTCAATAAAGACACCATGCATATTCTATTTTTTTTTTTATAGTATCGTAGTTGTATTTTGTACTGTAAAAAGAAGTAGGTAGTAACTAATTTTGGCGAATTAAAAACATTTTTTAAATTTTATAGCTGGACCTGAAAAGGAATTATCATTATCATGCATGTGTCATTTGATAGTATTGTACTTAAGTACAATACCTCCAGAGTCGCATATAAAATATATTCAGATAAACTCTGATGGTACTTGTACCCTAAAGGTTGAATTCTTCGAAAGTGAATATAAAAAATATGCAAAAATGGATGGACAATGGTGCCAAGTCATCGGCAACGAATTACAACCACTAAAGGAAATATTATGATAGTTACACAAATTATTTTCTACTTAAATAATATTTGCATTCCACACTATTATCCAAGTTGTTAATTTACTATTTAATGTAATTTGTAATAAAAAACTTTACTCGTGATTATAATCACATTTGTTGCTTATGTGTTGATTTAAACAGACACTTCATATTTTCACCATATTATGTAGACAGTTTGATGTATTTTTTTAAATATAAATTGTTCTGTTCTTTGTATCTACCCATCTGTCGACATTCGTTCGCTAGTACCTATCTATTTTTTTTAGTATGTTTTATGACATTCAGCGTTATATCTCCGCGGTCCGATTATTGAGTATATTATAATACATAATGTCAGTATGACATCACTTAAAAACGAAACTGCTCTTAAGCCTGAAAGAATCGTAGTATATTTCGAGTTAAGCTTAATTAATGTAATAACTGATGTGAGTGCCAACTCTTTCCCAACATTTTCAGGGTGTTCGGCCTCTTGAGTTTAAATCAAGGCAATAGATTGGAGCTTGAAATAAAAACGAAATAAATTTAAATATTGTTAGAACGTTAAAAATCAACTTCATTTGTTAATAGTCGAACCGGCCGTGTACAGATTAAACACGTCAGAACTCTACGTCAATGTATTGTAAATATGTAACCATAAAAAAAATAAAAAAATAAAACCAGCTATGTAAACTAACATAAAGACACACTGCAAAATATCTTTCGATTTTAATTGTTTGGTCGATATAATTCCATAGACAAGAGACAAGAAAATCACGTCAACACAGTCAAACAAACTGATCATATTCTGAAAAGTTTATACATTAAATAATTTAAGTATCTATGATAGTGTTACTTAACACTATCAAGCTTTAAACGTTTAATGCACGCTTGTAATCATATAATATAGGTAAAATATATAAAACTACATTTTTATAATTGCTCATTTTATTAACAACATTTTATTTTAGTTTTTGTTTCTCGAATACATATTTTTTCACGTTTTTTTATACTTCAAGTAATAAATAAAGTAAAAAAAAATGTTGGTAAGGTGTTTAAAATAGGTTTTTTAAATAAATAAAACTGTTGGAAATTGAATAGTAACCACCTATTTAGTAGTCAAGAACGTGGTATAAACAATTACTCAGTCCTACTCAAAAGCTAAAAACTACTGTGTAATAAACCTGAAACAGTATTTATAATATAATATTCAATTTTATTGTTATTTTTTTTAGAGCGTCAATTAACGACTTAGTTTTTATATTTTTTTAAGAAAACATAGCTTTATGGGTTTTAAGCAACATTTGATTAATGAAATCGCATGACAATGATATTTTGGATAGCACGCAATATTGAATTTTTAATTTATTAACTGCTCTGTTCTATGACGCTAATTATTAATGAACGACCTCCAGATCAATATATAGTCATGTTAAAATCATATTAGTGGCCTGAGAAATAATGTGGGATTTGTCAAATAAAAAATAGACTTGTAATACCAAAGACTTCACAACTCTGGTGGCGACTCCGACTAATATAAATTGTTGTTATGTTTATTTTTATTTACAGGTAAAAATGAAAATTTATAGCTTTTTAATATCATTTATCTTTGTAAATGTTTCATCAACAACTACTGAAAGTAATTACTTTATTTTTATTCTTGAAGTAGTTGTAAATTTAAAAAAAAAAAAATATTTCACTTTTTGACAGTGGATTATATGAAGGATGTTGCCATTACAAGTCAGTAACAATTTTTTTTATAAGAAAATAATGTTTAAAATATTATAATTATACTGTTTATATATATATATATATTTTTAAATTATGTACTACAGACGCACATATCGAGCTTGCTTTAAAAACGAATAATTTTACTATAAAAGATAAAGTTGTATTAAGTAAGTATATTTAAAATTAACTTACTACTATATATAATTGTTTTGTTATATTTATCTAGTTGTTGAACTATTTATAAAAATAATAATTATATAGTTTCTATAACCCTGCACGAGGAATATAGAACCAACGTTTTAAATACTTTGAGTTTTATTAAAGTTATAAAAATTATTTACATATAAGTGGTTTCTATAATTTTATACACTTAGCAGTTACATACAGCTTTTAGGCAGTGATTATTCAAACTAACAGAAGAAGTAGCGAAACGTTAAATAGTTATCATTAAAAATAGGATGTAAGCAAGTTTTAGTTATTCTAATTATTTATATGTTTATTACAATTTTGTTTTAAATTTTTATAATAGCACAAACCTTTATTTGTTTATTCCAGATGGATTGGAGCATGTAATTAAAAAAATTATTGAGAGCAGACAATATACTTTAGGTAGTTATAGTTATAAAATAATAAAAAAAGTAGTGAAAAAGTATTTGAAAATTATATACAATTTACAATTTCGTGTAAATTTACAAGTAATATTAATTTAACATATTAGTAATATTAATTTTTGGCAATTTAACAAAAAAAATAATGCTAGCTCTGTCAGTCTTATCTAATAATTTTAATCTCGCCACATCTGGTTCAGTTCAGACATTTTTTTTTCATAATTTGTCATCTATTTACTACAGTCGAACCGAGCACATTTCTTCCAAGTTACTAATACCCAAATCTTTAGTAATTGAATAGAAAATCAAATCCAATGTTATTAATTTTTGCAATGATAATTTCAGAAGAGATGAATAATATGTTAGTTGTACCAGGTAATGATTTTCAATGAATGTAATGGAAATATTTCCACACAGTTGTTTGGTATTCATTAAGTACACAATGTATTTGTATTCATTTCAGAATATCTAGCTTTTTGTCATGACTTGGGTGGTAACCAAATATTTATATTCCATATTTTTAACAATAATTTACACAAATTTATTATTTATACACATAGAGAATAAACATATTATCTGTACATAAATAATGGTTTGAATCATAAGAAATAAATAATAAAAATTTAATTTTTATGTAAATTTACAGCATTAAGGGAATTCCAAAAAGGTGTGCGAGACAAAATACAATTGGAATTAAGTAAATATAAAGTTTAACAGTTTTTAGCGAAAATGATTAAAATCACTTATTCCTTTAACGATTAAGTTTAAATTAAAGTTCAATTATATTATTGCTTTATGTTTTCGCATAGGCCATAATTCGAAATAAAAATTAACCGTAATTTCATTAGTTGCTATTAGGAAGAAATTAATATCATTACAATATTTCGCAGTAATTATTCAGTTAATTATTCTCAGTTTTCGAGTGATTTTTATTTGATATATTTGTTACAGATATTCCTGTTCCTGAAGTTCCAGACGAAAGTAATTACACATTTTTCTATATTCGTAAATTTCCTTTAAGTACTGTTTAGAGTTGAAATTTGCTTGTTTTGTACATTTTTAATGAAATAAACATTCAGTTGGTGAGAGAGAATGAGACTTATACCATTTTACGGTGATATTTTAAACGTCATGTTTGTAAATGAAATTTTACCTCATTGAAAAAGAAAAAAAAATATATGAATATAAACATGGATAATTTTTTACTTGACGAATTATATTAAGGGAAAATAGAAAGGTAAGAGAAAATTTTTTCACAAATAAAGACCATAACGCAAAGTCACTTTCTGAAGTGTCTACCGAACCGATTTCAAAAAATTTTACTTTGCAATATTTTAAACATCTTTCGTAAGGGTCTAAAAGGGTCTAACAGTTTTTTTTGGTTTTCAATAAGCATTTTTTCCCCCAATCAATCTAACTAATTTTCTAATTGCTAAATCAAAAATCGGCCTTTTAGCCCCCATAGAAAAAATAGTAAGCTTTACACAAGAAAAAGAAAAATGAAAATTCGTCCAATAGATGCGCCAGAAAATCACTTCTACAAAAGTAATTTTGAATAAAAAAATTTGCTATAACTCGGAGAAAAATAACTTTAAAAAAAATTTAACTAGAAAACCTTAATCTTTTTTTCACCTTAAAATTAGTCGCCATATTAGAAATGGCTACCAGATCAATTTTTTGTCAAATATTGCCTATCCTTTGCCCTTAATAAATAGCGCTTTCCATTCCCCTTAATGAATACTCTTGTCTCAACAAAAAATACGCAATATGTTCAAATATCAAAGAAAATCCTTTAAAATGTTGGGATTTACTTTTTTCTTATAAACCTCAGCTTTTGTGTGGTTCACCCATTACAGCATTCCAGATTTAACTTTCCGAAGGAGGAGGACGAACGAAAAAAAAGGTGGTTGGATTCGATGGAAAATATTATGAGGACTGCTGGTTTATGCAAAAATGGTGTGAAGACGGTCTTGTGAGGATAAGTTTAGTACAAGGTTGGACAACACCAAAATATATTTGAAATCAAGGAAAAGGAGGAAAAGAAAATTGATTGTATTCATATAAATATAACTAAAAAACAGTTAAACTATGCTAGAATACTATAATTATCTATAGCTTTTTATGTAACTAAATGATGAAAAACTAAACTAACTTAAATAGTTATTATTTTTATGTATATTGTGTGTGTTATATATATATATATACATTATATTATATTATAAAATTAATAATAGTTATTATTCTTATTAACATGGTCATTTAATAATTATTGCAGATCTTAAAAGACTAGTTTTAGAAGAGCTTGGAGGAAAAAGAAGAGAATTTACTGGAATAGCTTTGAAAAATATATTGAATCAAACCATAAGTAAATACTAATAGAGTTATAATAGGTTTTAACCCTTTTTTGTATAGTATATAATCTCGTTGAAAGGCTCATAGTTGGAGAGCAGTTCTCTTAATTGTTCAATTAAATAAATACATTTTTTTATCTCACAATAATTACAACAAAGTAAACATTTATTTTTGGACGGCGTAAACCAATTTTTACTATTTTGCAATATATTACAACCAGTACAGTGGGGTCGTGGCACAGTGGGGTAGGGGAGGTCACCGGTTTACAGGAACTATTACAACTGAAATTGATAAAATCGCTCTCAAATAAAAACTTTGATGGGAATCGGTATTTTTAAACCAGTAAAGTCCAAACCAAGCAAAGTATAAACCAGCACAGTAGGAAAGTATCTTCACTTTAATACTTTCCTAGCAGTGTTTACAAATTAGCATCAAAGCATTTATATGAAAGTGATTTTACCCGATTCTACAGGTCACAAGTCTATAGGAATTATTATAAATAAAAGTGATAAGTATAATATGTCATGGATACATATTTGTCTAACTATTGATCAATTATGAAAATTAGGTATAAAAATCACCAAAAAAAAACAAAAAAATTCTTGCACCCCCCCTTTGGGGGAATGGAAAATGAGTATAATTTAAATTTGAGACTATTAACGCATAAGGGTATACCAAAAAAATATTCCTCGTAAATTTCAACTCAATCCGACCCCTTTTTTCGAAATTATAGCCAGTAAAATTGAAACTATATTCTTATATAATTATGAATAATTTATGAGGAGCCATGTTAGGTTATTAGACACTGTTGTTTGGTATCATATCAGAGGGTCTATTGAACCATTGTATTATTTGACCACTTGGGTTATTAAAATAGGAGTATATTCGTTTAACATTTTATTACGAAGTTCGAATTAAGGAAGAATGCTTTGTTCAAGCTTCAATGCTAATGACTGGTTGTACAAGAAAAATAGTACTACCAAAGTTAGTTGGAATGTAATACAATTAAAAATCTATTACTAGCATAAAGCAACTAAACTACTTTAAATTTGTATTATTTTTTATCAACGCGGTTATTTAAAAACTTTTACAGGTAATGGAAAACCAGAAAACGTGACCAATCTTATAAATAAGAGAAGTATCGGTACAGACACGGAAAATAGAATCAGCCGAACATTGGGTAAATATTATACAGGGTGATAAATTTATCGGTAACTACTCAATATCTCATAGGGTTTAATAAGAAATTAATTTTTTTTTCATATTGTTTTTATACAATGTTGTCTCAATTTTTCACATTTTTTTTTTTGTTTTCCCACCCCCTCAAACTTAGTGTATTTGATAGAAACTTTTGAAACTTAATGGTAACGCACACATTTCAATAACTTTTTAAATTGAGAATTTTTGGTGTAAATCTGTAAATGGTAGAACAAATAACAATAAAATAGTTGTGTTGACAATAATGTGCTGAGAAAGTTTATACTTCTTCTAGAGAAAAAGGATTTTTGTTAATTTTTAGGGGTTTTAAATGTATATTGATAGTACCTTATCTAAAAAAATGATAACTAGAATACAAATGTATACTTTAATAGTTAATGTATAGATACTATTAACACATATTTCTATTTCATTTAAATTGCTGCTCAATAAGTACATTGTGCATATTCTTTTAATATTTTATTTTCGTAGAGTAACGTAGTTGTGTCTTGTACTATAAATAGAAGTAGTAAACTATTTGACGAATTAAAAACTTTTTTTTAATTTTCTAGCTGGACCTGAAACGGAAATATCTTTACATTGGATGTGTTGTTTGATGGCATTATTTATGAGTACAAAATACCCAGAGTCACATATAAAATATATTCAGCTAAACCCTGATGATACTTGTACCCTAAAAGATGACTATTTCGATAGACAGAATAAAACATATAAAACATATGGAAAAATTGAATGCCAATGGTTCCAAGTCGTCGGCACCGAAGTACAACCACTTAAGGAAATATTATGATAATTATACACATTTGGCATTGTTTAAAGATCCTGTTTTAAAGCTGAATGTTGCTTTTTATCACACAATAATTCCAATAAAGTAAACTATTATTTTGTGCAAGAGTGCGAGTCTTAATAACTGTTGAAATCTATCATTTACAGTAAAATTTTGGACGACGTAAACCAATTTTTACTATTTTGCTATATAAAAAAAAAAATATGATTATTAATAATTCACATTTTAAAATACTAATCGATTTTTCTCCAAAAATACTAATCCAATCAAAAAGTTGTTTGCTAGAGACTTTTAGAGTACAAAGGGGGACGAAAAAAAAATAGAAAATATGGTCCAAAATTCAAAATGGCTGACTTACGGTCAAAAACATGTTTTTTTTAAATAGAAACAATGTATTTTTTGTTAACCAAACAAATGTTCTTATCCAAACCAACAACTTTTGTAGGAAAATTTTTTCGGTAAAACCCATAATTTGTAAATTAAGTCTCTTTAGCTATTTTTAGTTTTGTTATTTTATTTTGATGCATATGGTAACCGTGGTATGTGTGATAACCGTGGTATGTTTGGTAACCGTGGTATGTATGGTAATCGTGATATGTGTGGTAACTGTGTCATGTGTGGTAACAGTGGTATGTGTGGTAACTGTGGTATGTATGGTAATTATGGTATGTGTTGTGTGTTTGGTAATAGTTAAACAAGAAATCTGATGAATAGATTCAAAATAAAAATGTTGTCTCATTCCATTTACTAAAGACATTGTCTATCGTGATGCACCAACAACACCGGAAACATGAAAGATCGGATTAGGAATGCATGTCGATCAATTCCAAGAGACGTTCTTCTATCAACTGTAGATAGTTTTGAGAGAAGCATGTTCAGCATGTTTGGACAACAATGGCGGCATATTCGAACATCTCAAATAAGACATTCTTAAAATGTATCTTTATCTTTGTCTTTGTTTTTGTCTTTATCTCTGTCTTTGTCTTTGTCTTTTACTTTTTCTTTGTCTTTAACATTATCATAACTATTACCATTACATTATCATTATCTTTATCGTTAACGTTATCCTCTTTTCTATGTATCACAAAAACAAAAACTACGGTTACCATATGCATCAAAATAAAATAACATAACCAAAAATAGCTAAAGAGACTTAATTTACAAATAATGGGTTTTACCGAAAAATGTTTCCTACAAAAGTTGTTAGTTTTGATAAGAACATTTGTTTGGTTAACAAAAAATACATGGTTTCCATTTTAAAAAAACATGTTTTTGACCGTAAGTCGGCCATTTTGAATTTTGGACAATATTTTTTTATTTTTTTTTTACGTCCCCCTTTGTATTCTAAAAGTCTCTAGCAAACAACTTTTTGATTGGATTAGTATTTTTGGAGAAAAATCGATTAGTATTTTAAAATGGCACACCCTGTATAACATTAACAATAGCCATTTAACATAATATATTACACATCTCATCTAAATATCATTTCAATTAAACTTGTTTAAATCAATAAACAACCAAATAGTATTTATTATCGTACTTAACGTGTCGTCTACATAATACATTACAAACCCTAACAACCTGAGGTTATATTGTTACCAATACAAGAGCACGTGGACGGTTCCCGGACAGCCTGCCGATAAGCTCGACCAAGGTAACACTACCCAAAGATTATACTAGTTAGTTAGTATAATTTTGTATTATACGTAATTTGTATATTTTGTGGTCGAATATATTGTGTTTTACCCTGTTTTTTACCCGTTATCCTATTTTTTTATTAAAGAAAAAAATCGCATTTGACTATAATAGTCAGTTTTTAAATTGCTACGTGTGAGTAAATCAACAGTTAACAGGTGTCCGAAAAGAGTTTGATTAAATTGTTAATTACGATATGTTAGTATGTGTGGTAAAAATTATTATGGACTAAAATTAATTTTTAAGCACATAATTGTATTAGGTACAACGATTTCTTGATATTTGTAAACAGACAACAAACATTTTTATATTCCAAAATATTTTATAAGAAATTTTAATATCTTAGAATAATTTTTTTTATATTTTGAGTTTTTTTTTTAATGTATTAAAACGTTTTTGATTACATAATAAAATTTCCAATAGTCTAGTCTAAATATTTTGTCGATTTTTCTTAAGGGGGCCGCAGCATGGTATTTACAAAAAAATATTAAGTATACATATCAAAAAAATAAAACCGCCACCCCATAGATAAAGTTTTTCTCTATATATACCGTGAGAATTTGGTAAATCTACTGCTTAAGAGGGTCGGGGCACGCCTGAGTTTTTGTGGTGCTAAATTTGACATACTTCCTAATGTTGAATTTTAATTTTTTAAATATGTATGAATTTGTTGACAAACTTTCTAGGTTTTTTAGAAAGCCGATTTTCAATTTTCTTTTTCGAACGAATTTTAAACTTAAAATCCAACATTTGAAAGTATCAAATTCCGCCATTTTTTCGAAATCTTAACTTAATATTTTTTTTTGTAAAAACCATGCTGCCGGCCTCTTTACTCAAAATGTGTACAAAATTCAAATTTATTTGGTCCAATTTGTTTATCGAAGGATCCCAAAGAAAATATGATTTTTTTATCGATAAAATGGCACAGACAATAATCTATTGAAAATGAATTTATGTAAAACATTAAAAGATAATAATTAAAAATTCAACGTCAGTATTATGTAAATATGTAATCATATTGAAAAAATAAACCAGCTATGTAAACTAATATAAAGGCACACTGCCAAATATCTTTCAATTTTACTGTTTGTGAATAAATGTTTATTCCATATACCATTATAATCTCAATCAAAAAGTCTATTTTCAGTTGATTTTACTCAACTCATAATGTACACAACATTAAAATATCTTTGGTCCAATTGGTTTACCGAGGGATCACAAAACAAATATGATTTTTGTATTGATAAAATGACATAGGCATTCAGTGAAAATTATTCTATATAAAACATTAAAGAAAATTATTATTAAAACTCCACGTCAGAGTAATGTATGTAAACATGAAAGCATATTAATAAAATAAACCAGCTATGTAAACAAATATAAATGCACACTGCAAAATATACTTAGATTTTACTGTTTCGGGCGATATATATGTTCATAGTCACGTCAATACAATTAAACAAGCGGATTTTCTAAAAAGTTTAATACATATAATTATTTAAGTAAGTAACACTGTACATCATTGAATTTGTATGTACGCTTGTAAATTGTAATATAGGTAAATATAAAAATATATTTTTTTGAATGCGTATTTTAGATATAACATTTTCATTTTGTACCTACAACCTTATTTTTTCTAACGTAGATTTTGTCAAAACAAAATAGAAAATAGGTATTTGTAAAATAAAAAATTGACATGCAATACCAAAACATTCACAACTTTGGTGGCGACTGTGACTAATGTTAATTGTTTTTATGTTTATTATTATTTACAGAAAAAAATGAAACTTTCGTTTTTTATCATATCTTTTGTCATTGTTAATGTTTCATCAATAACTACTAAAAGTAATTATTTTTTTTTCACACTTTAAGTAATTGTAAATTTCAAAAAATCAACATTTTTTTTTTTACAGTGGATTATATGAAGGAAGTTGCCGTTACAAGTAATATTTTTTTCTTTTATTAAAGTACTATTTTTTTATACATTTTTTTTTAATTCTGTACTACAGACGCACATATCGAGCTTGCATTTAACATGAATAATTTTACTATAAAAAATATAATTGTATTAAGTAAGATATATTTAAAATTAATGTACTACTATTTAATTGTTTCGTTATTTTAATGTAATTATCGGTTTATTATTTTATTCCAGATGGATTAGAGCATGTAATTAAAAAAATTATAAAGAATGAAGAATATTTTTTAGGTAGTTATAGTTATAAAAAAAAAAAAAAAAAACGAAGAAAAAAAGTGTTTGAAAAATATATAAAATTTACAATTTGTATTCACCTTGTGAAAATGTATAAAATGTAATATAAATTACACATTTCTCGCTAGAATCAATTCAGCAATTTTATTTTTATAATATTTTATTTATTTACCATAATCGAACCGAGCGCATTTCTTCCAATTTACTATCACCCATGTTTTATCTTCCTTTAAATTCTTCTCCCGGTTTACAACAGAATAGATAATTAAATCCAGTATTATTAATTTATACAATGTCAATTTCAGGTTTTCTGAATACTATGCTCGTTGTACCGGGTAATAATTATGAATAATCATATTGGAAATATTTCCACGCAGCTGTCTGATACTTAAGTACTCAATGAATTTGTATTAATTTCAGAATACCCATCCTTTGGTCTCAACTGGGGTGGTAACTACATATATTTATTCCTTACTTACAATAATTTACACAAAATGTATTTTTTTTACAAAACATTTTAATAATACATACGTCATTATGGTTTCATCAATCACAAGAAATACATTTTTCAAATTTATTTTATGTAAATTTACAGCATTAATGCTACTCCAAAAAGATGTTCGAGACGAAATACAATTGGAATTAAGTAAATATAAAATTTAACATTTTTAAATACTTTTATTCCTGTACCCTAAAGAAAAACGATAAAAAACAAATTACATTTAAATCATATTATCGCTTTATGTTTTTTGCATTAACCATAATTAAAAATATACTTGATATCGTTTATTTCGCATTAATTTTTTAGTTAATTATTTTCAATTTAGAGTGATTGTTATTTGATATATTTGTTACAGATATTCCTGTTCCTGAAGTTCCAGACGAAAGTAATTTTCGATAATCGTAATTAGCCTTTAAATGTAGTTTAGGTTTTAAATTTAATTTATTTATATTTTACATTTTTAAGACAAACTATAATAAACATTTAATTGGCGAGGTAGAATGAGACTTTATACCAATTTACGGTGATATTTCGAAATCCATGTTTGTGTAAATACATTTTTAACTCAATGAAAAAGAAAAAATTATAAATATAAATATAAACAATTTCTGATTACACCATTTCGATAAATGAATACTAGTGACTCGACCAAAAAAAAACCACAATGTTAGGGGACTGCTTTTTTCATATTTACCTCAGCCTTTGTATGCTTCGTCCCCATACAAGTTACACTCTTCCAGTTTTAACTCTTCGGAGGAGGAGGACGAACGAAAAAAAAGTGGTTAGATGCAATGTATTATGTAATCATGTCTGCTGGTGTATGCGTGAAAGACGTAGAGATAGTGTTGAATGGATAAGTTAAGTACAAGGTTGGTCGACTCTAAATATTTAGGATCAAGGAGAAGGAGGAGAAGGGAGTTCATTGAATTCATATGCATATAAAAAAAACATGTACATCTTTACAGTATTATATAATATATATATATATATATTAATAATTTTGAGAATTATTATTAATTTTTTTTTTATCGACACGGTCATTTTATAATTTCAGTAGATTTTAGTAAGTTAGTTTTGGAAGAGCTCGGAGCAAAAAGAAGAAAATTTACTGGGATTGCTTTAAAAAATATGTTGAACCGGATAATAAGTAAATACTAATAAAGATTTATAATTAGTTTTAACAATTTCTTTGGCAAGTCAGGTCTTTTTTTTGGTATCATATCAAAGAGCCGGTTGAACGAATGCATTATGTGAAGATTTTCGTTATTTAAGTATTAAAATATTCGTTTAAACCTTTTATTATGAAATTTGAATTAAGTAAGAATGTTTTGTTTAAGCTTCAATACTATTGGCTGGTTGTACAGCAAAAATATTACTATCAAAGTTCTTTAGAATGCAATGCAATTAAAAAACTATTACCAGCATGAAGCATCTAAATTATTTTAGATTATTGTTATATTTTATCAACACGGTTGTTTATTAACTTTTGCAGGAAAACCAGAAAATGTGACCAATCTTATAAATGAGAGAAGACATCTTGGCACAGACACTTTCGAAAATAAAATCATCAGAGCATTGGGTAAATTTTTTACAGGGTGATAATTTTATCGTACACCACTCAGTGTCTTATAGGGTTAAATAAGAAATTAAATTTTTTTATTGAGAATAATTTACTAAAAATGTTGACTATTTTTTTAATTTTATAGCTGGACCTGAAAAGAAATTATCATTATCATGCATGTGTCATTTGATAGCATTGTTCATGAGCACAAAATCCCCAGAGTCACATATTAAACATATTCAGATAAACCCTGATGATACTTGTACCCTAAAAGATGACAACTTTGATAGAGAGAATAAAACATATAAAACATACGGACAAATTGAAGGTCAATGGTGCCAAGTCATCGGCAATGAAGTACAACGACTCAAGGAACTGTTATGATATTTATACACATTTCATTTTTTTTAAATAATATTTGAATTAAGCACTTTTATCGAAGTTGTTAATTTACAAATTAATGTAATTCACAATAAAATGTTATACTCATGATTATAATCACATGTATTGCTTATGTGTTAATTTAAACAGACAGTTAATATTTTCAATATACCGGCTGATTGTTTTTTTTTATACAGAGTGATTCATTAAGGACAACACACTCATTTTCTCGGTTTATATTAATATTTTGAACAATATTTTTTTCCAAGATTTTTCGGTACACATTGTTCTATATTTTTCAATATTTTGAAAATTTTTATCACCAATCCTTGGGCCCAAAAAGGAGGATTTTAGTTTTTTTTAAATGGCAACATATGTTTTTAATTACATACATTTGTAGACAAAAAATAAAAAAAATATTTTAGCGTTTGAATTTTGAATTTTCATTTTTTTGTTCATTAGCTATGATTTTGTTAATCTACATTTTCTCTTAATAGTTATCATGTTTCTTCGGTTTTCCAAAACCGGTAGTACAAAAAGTTCATATTTATGTTCGCATTGTCCATTTGACGATAACACTCTACCAAAAAAAAAAAGTTACTGGCATAAAAGACTTTGAAATAATGATAGACAAACGGTTCTTATCTACAGATTACCTATTCCAACACAGATACACAGGTTGGTTTTACAAACCCACTTTATCAAATTATTTTTATGCGTGTAATAAAACTACTCGTCTTTGTAGTAACGATTGAAAATATTAAGAAATACTGTCAAAAAATCAAATCTTTATAAAGTCATATCAAATGAAGTAATAAATAAAAATTCAAACGCTAAAATATTTTTTAATTTTTTGTCTACACATGTATGTAATTAAAAACATAATATGTTGCCATTTAAAAAAAACTAAAATCCCTTTTTTTGGCCTTCAAGGATTGGTTAAATATTATTTTAAACTAATTTATTTTTTTACACTTCAACCAATAGTTTATATTTTTTCTATTTTGTATTTTATCATTTTATTCACTATATTACTTATAAAAACTTAATCGCAAACCACTAGAAAGATGACAATCATTTCTGCAATAGCTAATGCCAAAACTATGCCATGATGAAAACAATTTCAAGATTTGGATTAAGACATTAACATATTTTAGAAATATTAGTGATGAATTCATAGCAACTAACTAAACTATTGTAAACTGGCGATCTTATATATTATACCTTAGAATAAAACAGTTATAAAGTTACTGAAAATTAAATACGACTCGACATTCGACAATGTATCGATGGAATTGGCTTAGACTGATTGACTACAATAATATAATTTATCAAATTTGCGGTTGGTAGTAGTGGTAGATGCAGACAATAACAAATATCAAATTAAGGGGAGCTAGTCCATAATAATATTGAATATACTAAACAAATTTAAATAAGCTTCATAGATACTTAAATAATCATATGGTAAAGCAACAAATATCAACATACACATAAAATGGTTATAGTTATACAAGTATGATTAATTGTTAATCTAAAAAACCATATTATGTAAAAACATTTTTTATGTTTATAAATAACAAAAAAACGATTAATTTTTTTTTCTAATGCAAAAAATTATACAATGCACCTATATTAATAAACACATTATCTTAACTATTAGTGTACAGTAAACGATGATTGAAGATTCAATTTTTTCATAGAAATTGTTATATTCTTTCTTTGTATTCAGATACCAATATGTTAAAACTACACATTGATAGGTTTCTTCTAAGAAACAACGGCATAATACTGTAAACTAAAATAAAAGTTTTAATTAAAATATCATCAAAAGTAATTCAAAATACTCTATTTATTTTAGATAATATATTATTATAAGTACCTTTAATTTTGATATTTGTTGAGCGTACACAAGAAGATGAAGTAGGAATAGACTTGAAGGACCATCGATCATTAAGAGGGAATTTGATATTGCATTGCAACTACTTAAAAACCAATAAGGCAGCAGGACCGGATTTAATGAAAAGCGAACTATTGAAGAATGCCGATAAAGAAATGAAGAAGATCTTATGTGAAATAATACATGATTGTTATATTACAGGAAATATACCAAATGATTTTACGATTAGTAAATTAGTCACGATTCCTAAAAAAAGGTAATGCGACAGAATGCGCTAATTATAGGACATTGTCTTTGATATCGCATACATAGAAAATTTTGCTAAACTTAATAAAAAACAGGGTACAAAATAAGGTGGAAAACAATATTAATGACGATCAATTCGGTTTTAGACCCGGAAAAGGAACAAGGGAATCGCTACTTGCATTGAGAGTATTATTGGAGAGGAGAATAGATATGAATAGAAGCACTTATATAGCGTTTGTCGACATTAAAAAGGCATCCGATAACGTCAGTTGGAAAAGATTATTTAAAACAATGAGACAAATAGGCATAGACGTATTATTTTCCAATTATACAAACAACAAAAAGCCCAAATTGAAATAAAACCCGTTAAAAAATGCGCATTGATTAGGAAAGGAGTGAGACAAGGCTGCTCTGTGTCACCTTTGCTGTTCAATATATTTATTGAAAGCGTCGTTGAAAAATTTAAAGCAAAAACGAAAGGTGTGAAAGTAAAAAGGAAGACAAATCCACAGTATAAGGTTCGCAGACGATATAGCCATAGTAGCCGAAAGCGAGCGCGATTTGAGTAATATGTTGACAAATTTATCAATAGCACTAGAACAAGTTCAGTTAAAAATAATTGCCAAAAAAACAAAAATGCTAATAGTAGACAAACATGGAAAAGAAATGCAAAGAACTGTCAGTTTACATGGCACACCTATTGAAGAAGTCAAATCATTTTGCTACCTAGTTAACCGCATTACGCAGGATAGCCTATGCACACCAGAAATACAAAGAATACTAGCGTTGGCCAAGCAAGCTTTCATTAGGCAACAAAATCTCTTAACAAGCAGACACTTATCGATTAAAATTAGAATGCTATTTATTAAAACATATGTTTATGTGTAGCGTTACATGGTAGTGAGTCCTGGACCTCAAGTACAAGAAAATAGCTTTAAATAAACAAAATAAGCTACTTGTAGATGAACAATGTTATCACGCGACGTGAATACCGCAAACATAGGTATGTATAGTTATAATATAGTAGTCACCTAGTGGTCCAAGCCGTCATTGGCCACTAAAATCGTATATTTTCATTGATTTTTATTTAATAACGCAAAATTATTATTAATCGAATAATGGTACTGAAAATTTATTGTTAACAACCTACTTTAAATCAAAGACTTTAAAATATTCAAGAATTTTTATTATCTTCGCACCAAAACTAAAAACCAACCAAAGCTCTCCAAATACAAAATATCAATGTAAGTACAGCGTTATTTTCAGTTTATTTAAGGTAAACAAACGTTTTTTGCGAAATACGTTCAAAACCTGTTTGTAAGGTTTACAAGCAGGGAATGAGCAGCAACCTTAAGTAGTTCAGTTAACGTACGCTTATTGCTAAACATGGTTGTCAATTTTATTAAAAAAAAAGAATAATACAGCAGTATTTAAACAAAATGTTTTATAGCGTGTTAAACGGCTTTATGATATTGTTAATAGTCAGTAATAGTTGGCAGATGTTGTTATCGTGTAACCACAATGAAGATCTAATTTACAGACTCAACGCCATACTAAGTCATCCTGGGTGGAGTCGGATCGACTACATCAGAGGAAAACACCAGTGCTCTACAAATTCATTTTCTGGCATTGATCTGTTTATACCCATCGAAGAGCCCGATAGTTTCTACGTAACCGACGAAAATGTCTACGATAAATACTCAATGACGGCTCGATTGATGGAATGTGTGTACGCGAGGGCTATCTTAGATTATTTATGCTTCATTCGATTGATTCTACACGAAATCTCACGCAGGGGAAAACGTGCAAGTAACGTAATCCGTATCAGAAGGTATCGTCATAAAACAAACTTAGTAAAAAAACCGAGAGCTAAACCTGATTTCGGCTATGAGAGTTTTTGGGATTTTCTCGATTTAGCGTTGGGTCAAACGGGAAACAGTAAACTGATGTTTGACTGTATCACCGATGCGTTGAGATTTCTAGAAGAATCGCTTGACAAATTACACGAAGGCCCGACGGATTCAAATATAGATCTAATAATGAAAAGTACCATTCTAATCCGTAACGTGAAGCAAACTTTAAAACATTACAACGACTATAACCGTTATAAATACAATTTGAAAATTTCGAGAATTCCCAGTGTATTGGAAAAATTTTTCAAATTTCATATAGTAAGAAAATTGATAATTTTTACAAACGAATACTGCGTGATGCCACAAACCGCAAACACAAGCGAACCTCAGACTTTGAGTGTGAATCAGGTCTTTATCTTTCATTCCGTTGAAGACGCTCAATTGGAAATTGAAAATCTAATAAACAGGGTCATCAATAATTACTACAGAAAATTAGGTTTCCTGAAAGAAGAAAAACTGCCGGAAATTAACTTAACGCAAATTGATGAATTCCAAAATTATATCACATAATTTTATTATACATATTTCATATCAATAAAGATTTTCTTAATAATCTAATGCTGCGACTGTCTATTGAAAATTCAAAATAAATGGTTTTTAATATACAATTTAGATGAATAGAACTAACGCTTAAAGATAGAATTTAAATTCTTTGATATCCATAAGAGTGAATGTAAATTCATGAGATTTTAATTGCTCACAATATTCACAGATATAATATATCTAGGCGTTTAGTTTTTAAGAGATGTGTTCCACGATGTATAATCAACGGCAAAACAATAGTTGGTGTTGTCAATCTATTTGAAAATAAACCAACGTTTTTTTATAAAGACGCGTCGACTTAAACTTACATTTCGAAATTTACCATGAATTTATTTGTGACGTACGAATAACGTTTATATGGTTTTGAAATTGTATACGTGCAGCAATCTTTAGTAGTTACAGTTAACGGACGATTATAATTTAGTATCAAAATTATTTTTTTA